TTAATAAGTAGTTAGTATTAAAGTTCTTACTACCTATAATGTACAACATGTACAGTATGGAAGCCTTTATGACCTAAATTAGCCTACTAACTTTACTAGTAAAACGGTAGAGCGACTCGAACCCTAGACCAAAATAGTTTCGGCCAGGCAGGGTACAGTCTGATTAACTACTGTTACAAGTAATTACAGTCGATTTCTTTAAGACAGTTCAAGCAGAAAATTTGTTAAGAGTTATTTATAATAAAACACTATAACGGTTTAAAACGCGATATATTAGTTAAACTTATTTAACAATCATTAATAACTTCGGCCCGAGGTACAAACAAGTTAAACTAATATATCGCATTTTAAACCGTTAAAGTGTTTTATTTAAAGGTGTACTACTCGCGTAAACTATAGACAGTATTTAGTTATTTATAAAATAAAATGTGGAAATGTTAAATATTAGAATTAATCGGGCAATAAAGCGGAGGTGGATATAAAAATTCAGAGCATTCTTCCGAAGTGCATCAGTTGCACTCCTGAAATGCCTTTTGGGAAGCCATTCATTTTATATGCGCTACTTACTTGAATATTTTAGCACATTGCGCAATAAATTTTGAATTCTTATATGTAAAATTTAAAACGGTTTTTTATTTTTTAAACAGTTCAACCCTCGCCAGGGTAACATTTCAGCTTTAAGTTTTTAAGCGTGCGTTAGTTTTAAATGTTTATCTCAAAGAGTCTACTTTATAATCTACTTTATCGGGTTTCCCGGGTTTGAATCCTGATATAAATAATAGTGTTTAAATACCTGTACATCGAATGTTATCAATGAAATAGACACAGACATGTATCTGCCCCACGCTCCGTAAGTTTAATTTTATGGTCTGACGTTTGATTTTTTAACTATCAATTTTGATTTAAAAGGGATGTGATTTTCCAAAAAACCAACTTTTCTAAAGTTGGTATTTGGCGAAACTGGCCGGGTCGACGGAACACATGGCGCTAGCATAGCAGTTTTTACTTTGATATCAGAGACATCCTCCATCTTTTGTCACCCCGTGACCACTGCAAAGTATCCGAAACATCGACTCGAAGATAAAAATAATTTTCAAATAAGTTTAACTAATATATATCGTGTTTTCAACCGTTGACCTGTTTTATTTAAAAGTGTATCTAGCGTAAACTACGGACAGTAGAGGTATGCTTTTTTATGGTAAGTAAAACACTGGCAAATGCCATGTCGTCCTTTCACATAGAACACGAGTTGACAAGAAAATTATCTATGACGCATGACCGGTATCTAAGTTTTGACCCTATAAACGGATTTCGGGTCAACATACTAGAACCAATACGGCTTTTAAAATATACTTTGTTGTCACAGACTAAAAACATTTGTTTTTTTTTCGTACAAACGTTGCAAACTCATAAGCCACAGTTACTTAATTGCCGCACTGTTCATGAATAATAATTAAATATGCACATTTAAACCACATAAAACAATAAAGTAACTTCAATAACGGGGTAAGCCGCGGACATAAAACAATATTAAAATGAATTGCAAACATAGATTAAATGTACATTACGCGCTAGATAATTTAAGGATTAATGAAATCTGTTCGAATTTGTATGATAACGGGTGTTTACATTGCTATTTAATATTTGGTGGTGGAATCTATTGCAAACACACTGTTTGTTATACGTCAAAAATGTTCTCGTTCTAGCCTATTAATGTTCCAAAAGCTATTCACTGGATTCTCTCTCGCTAGAGAGAGGGTAAAGGGCTAAATTTCACCAGGCTGTAGTGTAAGTTCACAGACTAAAAATTTACACCAGTAATTCGAGATTACCATCTTTTATAACCGAGAGATATAACCAAGCGTGGTCACTGTTGTACGATTGTTTATAACACTTCTTCTTCTTCTTCTCTTCTTCCTTCCTGGGTACTAGACATATTTTTTGAATAATTTGTAATTATTAGTTTTGCTACTATGGAAATGCTTCCATTACTATCTGCTTTGTCAGAGTAAATAATTAAAAGTAATAATGTTTAGCGGATAGCGCTTAAGTTAGGTATTACAATCGATTACGAAATTATTTATCAATAACTAAATACACCGTAATAAATATATGTCGCTCGTTTTTTTATAATAAAACCACGATACAACAAAAATATTTTTATAGTCGATTAAAATGTTAACAGACCAAAGAAAACCAATTAACCGTTTTATTTCTCAAAAATATTTTTATAGTCGATTAAAATGTTAACAGACCAAAGAAAATCAATTAACCGTTTTATTTCTCACTTGAAAAGGAATCTAGTAACCGTTGTCTATCCAGACAACGGTTACTAGATTCCTTTTCAAGTTATAAGGAAACTACAAGAGCAAACACCGAACTAATAATAAAAGGATTAAATAATACCCATGCTACCAAAATATGCGCCGTTCGTAAAGTTCGCTCGAATCCCTTGAGTATGAGCTCTCAGTGATTTTAACTAACATCGCGCATCGCCTCGTCGACTACAACTTTGACCTACTCACCACTGAGTATTCTAGCTGGAATACTTGTGCTATTAATTTATTCTGTGGCCAGTGTTGTACTTATGAAATATGAGAATAGCAGACGCGTTGGTTCATTTGGAGACCCCCTAAGACGAAAACTTTAATGATCAAGTGACATAGAATGATTGAGATGAATGAATGAATAAATGAATGAAAAAGCCTTTAATTCGAATTCTAAATTAAAAACTACATACTACATACTATAGAAATTATTCTTACTTATAATTACAATTCTTATTTTCCACTCGGCAAAGACTCCTTTTTCACTCCTTCTATATTGGGCTACTCTATTCCGGGTGACTGCAGCCACTACCCAATTGTCATCATACCATCTTTTCGGAGGTCTTTCTTTCCCCCTATTACAAGTCGAAATCAAATCAATTCACGCACTAATTACAGCAGTAAATAGAATAAAGAATTTAATTGCAATCTCGTCGTCACGTTGTCACAATAGCGCTTCCAGAGCGTCGCATTGTCGAATTCAGTTACAATTTGAAAGAAAAAAAGATTCAATAAGCGAATAGAATTCATCTAAAGGTAATACAATAATAGTTGCCTTGTTTCGGAACTTTATTAGTTTTTGTCGAATGCAAAAAGTGCGGTAACGAGCTGGTTCGAACCGCAGCTCGCTTTGAAATCCTCGTTATGAAGTACAATACTTTTATGGTATTCGCATTTACTTCGCCGAGCCGGTCGTCTGAAGAAATTTCATTTTACATCGATGCATGCGCTGATGGTGTGAATTTTAATAATTTATAATCTGATAGACGCTTACTACGCTTGTAGGCAAACATTCTCATCCTCCATCAAAGCTCCAATTTATTATTCGTGGTAAAAAAAATCCTTAATCTACGTGAATAGGTACATTAAAATATATCTGAATTGCATTTTTATTGTGTACTAGCTGTGCCCGCGACTTCGTCCGCGTGGAATAGTGACTGGGGTTGGATTATTCATTATTTAGGCTGTTTATTAATTTATGTAAGGGCGCAACACTCTCACCTCACATCACTCCCACTCCCATTATCACCCTACTCCCACTCCCAGGAGTTAAGGCCGGACAGACAGACAGACAGAGTTACTTTCGAATTTATAATATTATATCAGTAATATTAGTATTAGTATAGATAGTATAGATGCTAGTATGCTATTTATATATGTCTACTTATTTAAACGTCAAACCAGTTAAAAACACAATGTCTTTAATTTACATTTACTACCAGTTTTCAAATCGAGGTCTCCGTCAAATTTATACAGATAACAATAAGATTATAATTATAATTTCGTAGTGATATCAAAATGAAAACCGAATATCCAATACCGAAGTAGGTCGACAGCAGATCTTGTTTAGACGTTACATGACTGGAGTATTTCACCTTCCATCAATGATTCGCTTGTCCGTCCTCCGCATTTAAAAAATATATATCAATATATTAGGGATTTTTTCAGTGTTACCTAAGATAGAGACCCGGATACATGTACTCCCGGATAAGATATGTGTCTGATACCTTGCCAGAGCAATCAATTGAGTTACCGCGTACTTCTTTCTCAAACGGAAAGTTCTTCCGCTAAAAATTTCTTACAGTTCGTCCAAATGTTATTGGCATTTCAGATATAAATGGATGTAAAAACTTTCGTTTACTAAGCTACCTGGTTTTCTTATTCTGCTTGTCTCCTTTTTCATTTTTTTTTACACGCTTTAGAAGTGTTAAGGTTGAAATTACTTTGCGCGAGAGGTGCATGTGTCAATAAGTACGATGAGGTGTAGGACTCGGTAGAATTGGTAGAGCAACAGCACGGAACGCTGACGATGCCGGTTCAAGTCCTGCCCGAGTCGAAATTTTTTTCAATTTATTTTCGATTTTTAAATTATATAGTGCCTTCATGTGTAATAGCGTTTTCAAATCTTTTGCAAAAATAAATAATATGATGCTCTAAATTAGATGAAGTCGAGGGCACAACTCGTAGTAAATAAGAACATATATACTGCTTTATTCCACATTTGCCATCGTTGTCTGCAACTAATAAAAGTATAGCCGTTTCTTATACATATTGCAGAGTACTAAGCACTAAATTGCTATTTTAAGATCCTTTGTAGCTCGCCAGCAGTGCCAACAAAGTCCTTTAGTTTTCATCAGCGTTACATTATCGCTAGCTTCTTAATCTACATCAGGAAATTACGCCATAATACGCTTCCTTTCGGTACTAAAGCACAAAAAGCCATCGGCGACGGGAAATAATGAAAAAATGCCTTACATTTTGTAGCTAAAGGGTTCAATTAGTTCCTTTGAAAACAATTGAATGTTTTGAATATATAATAAAAGCGAAATACGATTCTTTTCTAGTCAGCCATTTTGTTTTTGCACGTTACATAGAGGTTATGTAAAATGTACTCAGACAATGATTAGATGTAATTATTATTTATATGATTGAAAAATTGATTTAGTTAACGTTATGACTAAGGTAATTTAGCATACATTTACCATTTCTATTCGTCGAATTGGGACAGGTTTCATAAAGTACAAATCAATTTATATAAAACGTTTGACACTGTAGCTCAATTGATTAGAGCAGTAGCACGGAACACTGTAGATGCCGCTTCAAATCTCTCTCCGTGTTGTAAATTGTTTTAATCTAAATAATTTTTAATTTGTAATCGGCATGTTTTACAGTCGAGTAATTGAGAAGACTTCACTGCCCTCAAATCCAATAAAATCTTTTGTTTTTCCAATATTTGAACCCAGGACCTCTAGACGCAATGCTTAGCAACGCTATTGATGGGGCCTAAATCCTTATACATTATTGTTGTTTTAATTGTTGTTCTATCTCATATATATGCTATTTTTAAGGTTTAGTAATTATAAGCCTTTCTTAACATTTCGTTTTGTCTTTGTAACAGGTAGTAGAAGACTGGAAATTCATGTCGATGGTGTTGGACCGTTTCTTCCTATGGCTGTTCACGATCGCTTGCTTCGTAGGGACCTTTGGGATCATCTTTCAGTCGCCTTCCTTATACGACACCCGCGTACCTGTCGACCAGGAACTGTCTTCCATTCCTATGCGCAAGAACAACTTCTATTACCCTAAAGATGTCGAAACTATTGGTATTGTTTAAGTTCACGAATCCCTTTAGTTAAATGTAGCTATTTTGGGAAGGTAATGCGACTAGTACGCTTTATATAAAACACTTTTAACGGTTTAAAACGTATTTGTTAATTGATATTTACACAATCGCGTACAATCGCGTTTCGACTGCCTTTCAGCAATTATGGTGACGAGGGTAAAGATGGTGGGCGTGTCTTAAATGTGAAAATCAAATCTGCTACACTAGCGCCATCTGTTTCGTCTTGATTGATATTTGCAGAAACTAGTTGGGACTATACAACTGACGTAGTCAAATTAATTAACTGTAATTTTTGCGATTGAAAGTATTAAAAGTGTTTCATTAAAAAAGTAATTACGTTTAGTATTTAATGTGAACATTTGTTTAGTGACAAAAAGAAATAATAAGAGTTAAATTAATTCAATGGCTGTGAAGTTCACTTCTCTATTTTTAAGAGTAAATAGTTTTAAGTGTACATTTTTGGTAATGGTAATGAGCACAAATAAAGCGTAACCAATTCGTTTTCGTTTTATTCACTATCTTATTAAAACTTCATAACCCGTATTGTTTAATTAAATACTTTTTACTTATCTGATCATTTCAGAACCCTGCTTGTCTAAAACCAATTATTATATTTAGCCGGAATTCAAACCTGAGACTTCGTGCGCTTATCGTGTGCGTGTGATATCTGAACCATGGAAGTGTCAACTATTAAGAACCATAATACATTTATATTTTATAAATAATAAATAAGACACAGTTTTTAAAAAACAAGTTTAATGCTTTATCACTGCGAGTCTAGTTATAATGTCAAATAAGCTGTACGGACACAAATCGTAATATTTATCGCAGTCTCCATTTTGCCCATCTGCTTCGGCTTCGTAGTATACATCGTCTATTCTTTCTTCTTTTGACGCGGAGGGCCTAGAAAAAGCCATAATTTAAATACTAGGTACCAATATTTATAAAATTGTTAATTAGTATTTTGATATTTATTTTAAAAAACTAAAATAATTTAAAAAATTAAAATAAATTGAAAATATTTTCGACTCGGGCAGGACTTGAACCGGCATCATCAGCGTCCCGTGGTGTTGCTCTTATATTTGTTAAATATACTGAATAAAGCATTACCAATAAAATATTTTTAGGAAGATTACATTACACATCTTGTGCTAATGTAAAACAATATTTATATTTATTTATGTTATTGCACTGATCAGCTTTGAAAATGGCAAATGTATTTATATTTTATCGACGGGCTTCGAACCCACAATAAGAGCTCTATGTTTTTTCTATCACTAGATTTACCAGGTCGTGCGTTGTCATCGAATTTCTGATATATCTGACCGATACATGCACATCTCAATGTTGTGTTGTTAAATTATTAAGAATTGAATTTAGATGCTCACGTGAATATAATATGCATGAGGTGCCCCAGAAGCCCGTTGTGATGTAACGGGGTTTCTGCCGCTTCGCAGATGTTACGCAGCAAGCAGTCTCTTCCGTTCATGCCGTTCCTGGAACGTAGGAGTTTGTTAGCTCTCGAATATTCGTTTGAGTGGCTTAAGACAAATATTTATTTATCAACCAACCAACAATATCCAATTCATTTATAAACTCATATTCATTTAATGCACAAGAACACGTACGCTGTTGTTCAGTAAACACTACAAAATATTTAAATAAAACACTTTAACGGTTTAAAACGCGACATATTAGTTAAACTTATTTGAAAAATGATTTTTAACTTTGGCCCGACGTTTCGGATGCTTTGCAGCAGTCGTGGTCACGGGGAGACTAAAGATGGAGGATGTCTCTGACGTCAATGTAAAAAATTTCTACGCTAGTGAAAAGTGTTTTTTAAACTTTGCCGAATATTTAAAAGAAATTACGTAGCGTAATAGCATGTGTTCTATTGTTTTTACGTATTAAACTATGAAAATTTGGCCAAATACTTCTTTTTATAGTTAATTGAAAATTTACTTACTCTTGAAACTTAGTTTCCAGTACTAAGTACGCAAGTTCCCTCGTTATACTTCTACTGTGCCTTGAAACTATCTAGAAAAAAACAAAACTAATTACAGAGAATGCTTTTAATGATATAGAAGGAACGACAAGCTCGGGTTGGAGGAAAAAATAACCTAATATGTTATCAACGAATCGATGCGTTGTCAATTGTTTTTTGGCTATAGACTCTTAAAAATCAGCATTATTAAACCTAAACGTGATTAATCTTTACTCCTATTCTATTTATGGTTGGTGATCATGTGTGGAATTCTGATATTCCTACCACGCATTTAAACAAAGTTCTGAAATCATTTACTAATTTTAAAATACTACTCACTGGCAAGTTCGGGAATAGAACTTCATCAATTTCCGTAATGTTTGTTACAACGCCGTAGTTTGCCTCGAAGTTGTAAGACACGAAAACGTTCTTATCAGGAATGTCCAGAGGTACAGCGATGGCCACAAATATCTGAAAAATTACATATTGAGAGTTACTGACAGTTTACAAAAATAGTTTCAAGACATATAACTTTCTTGTAAAAAATAAGTTAAGTCTAAATTAATATTCATATAGAATGATTAATATATAAGAACAGAAATAACAACTGTTTTCCTTCCTTCTTTAACAGTAAAAAAAATAGTTTAGGAAGTTAGATCCTACCCCATATAACGTGGTTGGAGGAAAAATAAGTGCTCGTTTTTCTACATCGTGGCTGTTCGCAGCGACCGATAGTAGTATGATTCTGAAACATGAATTAAAGGTCTATTACATGCATGTAATATATATTTATACAATTGTATAACGCTCGCATAAGGAACGAGAGTTCGTGGGTTCGATGTCCAGTGAAGCAAGGTGAGGAAGAGCACAAATTATTTATTTAAATAAAATACTTTAACGGGCAGACTCCCCGTGACCACGGCTGCTGCAAAGCATCCGAAACGTCGGGCCGAAGTTAAAAATCATTTTCAAATAAGTTTAACTAATATATCGCGTTTTAAACCTTTAAAGTATTTTATTTAAATGTGTACACACGTAAACTATAGACACAAATTATTTACCTTATACGTAAATAAAATAAATGAAAAACTCTCTCATAAAGATCGATTTTTTATATCAAAGATTTTTAATATTTCTTTGGTATTGTAATATGATAAGGTAGCGAATAGTATCTTAAAATAGTTTAAAATTTGTCGTAGGAAAATAAGGAGTTATTTCGTACTGAGAAACAAAATACTGCAAGTTTAGAGCCCGGAATGACATTTAAATTTAAAATAGAGTTTGCTACAGACTACTCGTACACTATGAAAATTTTCCTTGAACACGGTTAGTTCTTTTTTATTATTCATTTAAACTTGTTACAGAACTTATTATTATACTCCTTTAGAAATATTTTATTAAAGTGTCCGTTTACTAAATAAGCAAAAATGTTAGTGCATTTTATACATTGTTAAATGCCCGCGGCGCAAGCTAAACATTTATTCCCCTACACATGAATAAAAATCGATAGAAATTCCAGCAGAATACAAAAACCTTTCAAAAGTCTAAACCTCGGAATTCTGCTTTTCCGAGCACATTTCACCCAAAATCAATTCCTAAAAGCAACACACATCACAGCTTCGGGCTGTCTTTTGATTTTCCGAAACTCTTTAAACATGTCCACGCTTAAATCACGCAGTAAACAAAGAAGTACTTACAGAATGGTAACAATGCTTCGATCCATGTCGTGTTGACAAAGGACGTATGTCTACAGGGATTGACTTTTTTGAATAAACGAAAAGATACTATGTTGCCGTACTACGGTTTACTGGGGAAAATTAACATCTATACGACGAATAACGGTGCAACGAGATTTGGCTTCGACGAGTACTCACAAACTGTGTCGACTAGACTTTCATTTATAGCGATGTATGTTGTCGAAAGTGTGTGCAAAACTTTGTTGAAGGTGGGGCCCACCCCAGAATGAATCCATCTGAAACCTATTAAATAATAGGTAAATCTAGGTTAGTTTTTAGGTTACATTTACATGGTCAAGTTAATGACTAATTAGATAATGTAAAAATATATGATGGTGAATAAGAACTTTCTTTATTTGAAATGTTAAGTAACAAAGTACAAATAGAATTTATACAAAATCCACATTTCTAATATTTAAAGCACAACATGTCGCACTTCATTCGGTCGCATGAAGTTTAGTCTGGGTTCCGTTACGTGACAATGAGATGACCGCAGTTTGCACCAGTTTTGATGCTAATTGTTCTAGAACCGAGCACCGACTTGTCACATCACCATTGTGATAATTGACTGTTTGATTTGCAGCCACATTTATTTTAATGGCATTGTTTTAAAACTATTTACACGCAAAGGTTATAATTAGTTTTCGTACATTACGTTGCACATTCATAAATGGTTATCCATATTAATAATTCTTCATCTTAATATCAGAAATATAACGCTTATCAGACATGATTATAAATGTAAGCACCAAAATGTATTTCATAAGTAAAATATTTAGTTATAAATACAGAGAATAAATTTAGCACTGAATTTCCCTAACTAACTACTAAACTAACTTTTTTAATATAAACATATAAACTATGCCGTACTCACTATTATCTCTACTCAACACGTGTAAGGAAATGATCAAAGAGTATTTTAGCATTCTTATCATAGCTAATTACTATATTACATATACTTTATCTATTATGTCATTAAAAATGCAGTTGTTTAAAATATGATGTTAGTGAGTGACACAAAGCATAAATAAACCCTTGCATGGTTTTTTACGCCCAGCTATGTATTCTAATATAATAAGTTTTTTAACAACAATAAATGCTTAAAGCGGTTCAAAAACGATCAATGTGCAATTTGAATTCCACAATATTTTGACAGCCGTCCATAGATGCTCAATGTTATTGTACAATAAGATGGTTTGTGCGATAAATTGAATCGTGTGTGTGTGATATTGACCGTTACACAATTTGACGGCACAATTTGAATTTGAATTTCACGCAATACTTATATTGCGCAACTCTTCAATGTTGTCTACACACGATCGAATAATATTGATCGTCTATAGGTCGCTTTAAAGTATATAACGATGTATTAAACATCGTGTTTATATATTACATTGATAAGTGAATACATATAATATTGTATATAAATTTGAATTATGAATACATCAGTAAGTTTTCATTGTAGATGATTCAGTTTGTTTTATAGTGTTCGTTGTTCAGGCAGCTCTATTAAGCACTATAATAGTAAACTTTATAACAAGCAAACATGTAAACAAAGAACGCTGATCCGTTAATTAATTGAGCCCGAATCGATGTTTGAAGGTTTCAATTGTTTGCCTCGAACGATTGCTGACCAACTTTAATAAATAAATTATTCTAGTAAAAGTTTGCCTCGATGATTTCTATGTAGTTTTGTTGAGGGGGAAAATAAGTGCTTCTGATAGCGAAATTCCGGTTTCGCTGATCTGTTTTATTTACAGGCGAGTAGTTTATCAAACTTCTGTGTCCGTCCAACCAAAACAAAATATTGTTGTCCTGGGATTCGAACTTCACGTGTTTAACGCAATGTTAACACGTTTTCGACACGTTGATCGTAGCCATACATTGCCTACATTAGACCAATGATCCCGTCCAAGCTTTGGTTATATTTAAATACTTTGGTCTCATAAAACGATAATGCAGACTTTTTTACGTTAAGATATTGTTTATTGGTTATGTATATACATAACATACAACACAACATAACCGAATATAATCTTTGACTATATTTTATTTAGGAAAGATAAAAAGTTAAGTCATTTAGAAATTAAAAAGGCTACGTTTTAAGTTATAAAAATGTTATTGTATATCTATCAATTCAATCAATTTTCAGTCAATTTTTATTTCCCTTCTCATAGATATTTTCATAGACAAGAGAAACCCAGCAGCAGAGCAACAGTACGGAACGCTGATGATGCCGTTTCAAGTCCTGCCCGAGTCGAAAATTTATTCAATTTATTTTCGATTATTAAACTATATAGTGCCTTCGTGTGCAATAACATGTAAAAAATAATTAAATTTTCAAGGGAAACTCATCTCAACATTTTGTTACATAGCGGAATTTATTCCTGTAACGGTATTAAAAACTAGGCTAGCCAGGCGTCGAGCAATTTACTGTCTGCAAATATTTACTAGCCAGGCTTCGTGGATAGAGATATGATGATGCAGATTGTATTGAACTCCTGTCCTTTCAGTTTTGATTAACGTGGAGTAGATACGACTGAAAAACAGATATCACATGAAATACACCCTTTTAGTTATTGTCGTGTCGTATATCAGGGTAAATACATTTTGATTAAGTTTTGTTATCTAATAATTTCTTCTATTATTATTTATACTAATATTATACAGCTGAAGAGTTTGTTCGTTTGAACACGCTAATCTCAGAAAGGACTGGTTCGAATTAAAAAAGTATTTTTACTTGGTTGAATTAAGTACTTATCGAGAAAGGCTTTACGCTATCAATTATCAACCTGCAACCGACTCATGAAACTAAGAAGTAAAAAATAATAATTCTCCTTCTAATGATCTAAATTAATGTCGCCTGTTGTTGTAACGTTGTTATAACTTTTCACACAATTTCAGTTTAAAATTAAACTAGTCAAATTCCAGGTTAATTTTATCAATTTAGTTATAATTTAATTTCTTCATATGGGTATATATGTATTATTTATCATCTAACATAATAGAAATATAATCTAAGGGACTAATGGGGCACGCCTCCGCATAGAAATGACATTTGTCCTCTAATCCCCAGAACTCGGCTTCGTAGTACGAGTCTTCGATGAGTTCCTCGGAAATCGATGTGGACGGTCTGAAAGTGGATATTTATATATTTAATTGTAATGCTATTATTATATAGCATTGACCGTAGCTTCCGGAGAGTACACAATTAAATGAAACACATTTAACGGTTTCAAATATTAATTATTTTGACGGGTCAATTGTAGCAATGACTAATTATCAACGTGTCGTGGATTCGATCTCATCTGAGTCCAACTTTTTTTTAATCAACTTATAATTTTTGTGAAAATTGTCGGCTAATCCTAAAAGTTAGGCCGTTAAAATAAATTGTAAGTATGAATCGCATTTTAAACCGTCAAGAGTGTTTTTATTAAATAACATTGTGTTATATTATTTGTAGATTTAAATTAACAAAACATTTAATAAAGTGCGGTGTCATTGATGACGAAAAAGATGTGAAAGAATTAAAATCCGAATCTGGTTTTATAAGAATGATTCGTTTTTTTTAACTTAGTTGTTACCTAGTCACTTTATAGTTTATATATAGAAATGAACAACTCTTGTAAATTCATTGTAACATTTGTCCACATTACTTTCGTGTCTAATAGAGTGTATATTTATATATTGCTCCAGTACACAGCCAATTTCCCCATCAAAATGAACGCGAACGTATCAGAACTTCGCTCTCGAAGTCTTAGAGGAGCGTTGTTTAAACATAATGACTTTGAAACTCCAAACATGTAACAGCTATTTATATCATCAAAACTTATCTCCACAAAGTATCTTACGTGAGGACGAGGTGAAGTACGTCACCGAGGATGCCGTTATGCAAGAAATGCGAGGTAGCGTTCTCGCAAATGGCTCTGAGTAAGCAGGAGCGTCCCGGGTGACCGTGCCTGCAAGCAAAAATAGATAATAGATCGAGTGAAACACATTTTTTAAGTTCCATTATCGCTTGTATTAACTAATGCATAGGGTAAGCTTACGAGCACCGGCGACGTGGTTTCGACGTTCTATTGAGGTGATGGGAATATCGTCTTTAGTGTTATTGAAATTCAGTCGAATCTAGGATGAAGCTGTTGCGTTCGGAATGTAATAGCTGTGGTTACGTAGTTGATTTAGGAGCCCGCAGCGCTGGCAACAATGTAAGCTAGCAAATGCGCATTGGCGACACTACTCAAGTTTAATCAGGTAGATTTTTCCAATCGGTACATTAAAACAGTATTAAAACTCTTCGTTATGTTTTATAGGTGAGCTAGAATCCTTACTAATATTATAAATGCGAAAGTAACTCTGTCTGTCGGTCTGTCTGTACTCTTTCACGCCAAAACTACTGAACGGATTTGAATGAAATTTGGTATACAGATGGTCTAGAGTCTAGACCCTGCTCTACTTTTTATTGCGAAAAAGGGGTTTTAAGAGTTAAAAGGGTAGGTGAATATTTATATGGAAATTCGTAGTTTTTGAAGCTAAAACAAGAAAACTTTCTTCTTTGGCTTTTTGAGAATAGGAGTGGGAGTGCGAGTGGGAGTGAGTGTGGGAGTTAAAGCAGGAGTGATGTGAGGTGAGAAGTTGGCAAAGTAGCACTTACAACATAGATTGGTTGCCTTAAATGCGCCCTTACATAAATTAATAAACAAACAAGTCACTATTCCACGCGGACAAAGTCGCGGGCACAGCTAGTAATGTATAATTGTAATTCAAAGTCAAAATAGGTCGAGAGCACATCTTGTTTGGATAATTTATATCTACTGTCTGTAGTTTACTCGAGTACACATTTAAATAAAACACTGTAACGGTTTTAAACGCGATATATATTCTTTACTATTTCTTTACTTCTTTCTATACTTTCACGGCTGCTGCAAAACATCGGGCTGTAGTTAAAATAATTTGCAAATAAGTTTAATTAATATATACCGCGTTTTAAACCGTTAAACTGTTTTATTTAAATTTTATATGCCTGTGAAGCCCATGCTTGTCATCATAAGAAAATGCTTAGTCAGTTAATATTTATCAATATTTCTATAAAGTAAAATATTTCTAGTAAGTTTGTAGTTTACGAGACTAGTAAACATTTAAATAAAACACTTTTAACGGTTCAAAACATGAAATACATTAGTTAACTTAATTTTAATTTAAGTAGTTTTAAATTACTATTAAATTGATCTAGATTACTTTGAAATTAAAAAGAAAATAACGTTTGTACAATAATTGTAATCGTTTAGTTTATGTCAAATTTGAATTTAATACGTAAAAGCAAATCGTTTCAAAAAGGATTATTATCGTTCTTTTTATTTTAGAGAAAAATATTTATAAAAAACTGAATGAAAAATTATGAAGTCAATGAAAAAGTTCATATTTACGCCAGTTTTGGCTCGAAGTACACTAAATAGAAATAACTTAAATGGATTGAAACAATTGAAGTTTACGATATGAAAATCAACCGCAACTCGAAACTTTTCATTTGAACACAGTATTCAGTTGAAATATCAGCTTTTTCATTCGACCCATTTGTTTTAGCATTTAGGTTGTATCACTAGTTAAGCGCGACAGGCTTTGGGTTCGAAGCTTGCGAAATTTAATAAATAGTCTAAAACGCACATAAGCGTTCTACCAATTTATTGTCTGTAGATACAATCGACTTATGAAAGAGACACAAATGCGTCTGCGCATGCCCCTGTAATGGGTATATGAGATTCGAACCGCAGTTATTTAGTATAGTATAATCAGTAATCATTTTTTAAGACACGATAATTTATGAACTTCTCAACGCGTTGAGTGAAATCCCGTATCCACTCATGGGGCATGGGGCGAACATATTTCACGGATTGGTTTTATTTACAGGCAAGTAGGTAATCAGACTATTGTGCCCTGTTCTACCGAAGCGATTTGCAGTCTTTCTGGGATTAGAACTCAAGACCTCTCGCGCTAAAATCAATGCTAGCAAACGTTTAACCATTTAGCTACACAGACGGTCCAAACTCGGTATAATACAATTAAATTAGGCACGAACGTAATTCAATACGCAATTTAATATCGAATTGTAAAGTTCAAACAGTCGGAACGATGATTAGGTTCGTTTGTTGCTAATACATTTGGTTTATTCATTGGGTCGTGTTCGGTACAATTGCTGGCTTCAGCTTGTAGGAGGCTTTATTAGTGCTTATTGCTTCTGAAATGACGAGGCTTAGGGTGGAACTCATGTGATATTGCCTCGAGACGGAACTAGAATGTAATTGGGTGGTTTGGCTGTATTTGTTATATTAATTGAGTTTTAGTTGGAAACTGTAGAATGGTGGTTTGTGTCCAGTTTAGCTACCTCCATTCTGGTGCTTAATCTCCGAAATATCATCAAAAATTTATTTAATAATTACATACGAGTAAATCTTGACAGTCTATAAAGTGTACTTATTCAATATGCGTTAAATGCTTTGAAAAAAAGGTAAAAAAATCAGCTTTCTTAAGTTTCAATACGCCACAGATAACGTCAAATTTGTAATTCACCTCACATTTTAAAGTATATTCAATAAAAACTATTGTCGGGTGAAGACGTGTAATATTGACATTTTTGTCCCCGAGTCAAAGTGGCTGCCGTAAAGGACGTACTTTACTTTTCAAAGTGTCAAGTTAATTTTTAATATAGATAGTAGATATCACTTGTAAAATGTGACGTCACATGTGCTAATACGCTTAGCTCAGTAGCTGATTCACAATAAAAGGATATAAAATTCACTTGGAGTGTTATTTCTCTCTACTCTCTATACTACTATAATCACAATTATAGTCGCGAATTGACGACATTATAAATTGGTTTAGATATTTTTTCACCTAGGTTCTTGATACCATACCGTAATGTTTAGCGATGATAATTTGAAAAAAGAAACAAAAATTTACTAACTTTTCCAGCATATTTTCGATGAACGTGTAGAAATATTTCCTCGTCACAATATTTCTGGTATCTATAGCCCTACGCTGCTTTCCGTTGCGAGCTACCTGTAAAATTATATGACCACGTGAGCTATATTAAGAAAATTTGGTAAATATTATTACATAAGCTTGTGCTTGAATGAGTTAATAAAAAAGTCTCAAATTAAAAAAGTAATTTTAATTCTGCTTTAACAATTAACTATACACATAGAATACATTAAAATAAAACACTTTTAACGTTATATTTACTTAACATTATAGTTATATGTTTATATGTTACTTAACTTTTTTTTTAAATTTAATTACGGCTAAGTTTTCGTACCATAATTGCATTTTCTAGTCCCTACAGGCTAATAAGGTCTGTAGTTTACACTAGTAGTAAATATTTATTGAAACATTTTTGACAATTTAAAACGCGAAATATATTACTTCTAAACTTTTTACAATTTTGTTTATCTATGGCCTAAGGATAATTTAACTGATCTAATTTACGATTTATCCCGTTAAAAGTGTTTTATTTAAATTATGAACATTTTTAAAGATTCAAATATAAACTCACTCTTAAGACTTAAATATAGAGTGTAATATATATATATACACTCTAAACACAACACAAGTGTACAAGTTAAATTATTCTGCATACATTTCACTACATTGTAACTGGTGCTTTTCAAATCTAGTACAATATTAATATTTGTCTTTCGCGAGCACTTCAAATAAGACTCCACTTACCTCAATGTCCCCAAGCAGAGGTTCATAATAGGTCGCGTTGTCCACAGTATAGTAATTGGCTTCAAAGAACCAAGCAACACTTACAGTCGCTTCAGTATCCAGTGGTACTGCTACTGTCGCAAATACCTAGGAAAGGGAAATATTTAGTTGCTACTAAGTACTTAGTACTACTGGTTAGTTTTAATACTATTATCTAGGATAAAAGGGGGGGGGGGGAGGAGAAGCTAGAAGCAAGTAAGGGAGCCTTTTTCTAGCTGTAATGGTTTGATTTTAATATTATTATCTGTCTTAATAACTGCAAAGGAGGAGAGGCTGATATACAAGCTTTTTTTAACTTTAAAAAATGAGGTACTAACCCCCCACTGCGTAGATGGTGTGAAAATCAAGTATCTTCTCTGCCTGGTATGCACCTCTAATCCTTGCGCAGTATTTAGGATATATAGACTGCAAATTATTAAATGATAAATTAATTTACATGTTAATACTATCATAGCAACTCATTTCTCATAATAATCCGAACTGTTACTGCGTAGAAATAATTTGGTAGATTTAATTACTAGTACTGAGATACGTACGCGAAGAAGCAATTAAAAATCCACATATTCCAGTAATAATTTTGCTCAACGTAGCTCAGCACAATTTGACGAAGAATGTGTTTCTTGAAATTACTGTACTAGAAGAACCTACGTCAATCTAGACTAGAACATTACTTATGATTATTAACTATGGACACTACCACAAGGAAATACGGTTCATTTTCGATCGCGTAGATCTGGTTTAAAGCAAGCTTTGACATCTAACGTGAGTTTAACGGGATCGTGTAGATCATCCCCGATGTACCACAGGCTTTATTTGGACAAGAAATTTGAGATCCGCTAGGCAAGCTTGTAAAACGGTTTTGAAAATTACAGCGGTTCTTAACTGACTGTATATTGGAGTATGTCTTTAGAGCGAGTTCAAATGAACTCGTGATGGCTATGTTTGGTTGGTGTTCTAATTTTAAACGTGTATTTGAGAAGTGTGTAACGGAATTTTCCTGTTACTTGTAATATGTATAACTTTTGTACCTAATGCTAATGTTTTTTTGTACTTATTCCTATTTTAGGCTCAGGTTATTTAACGGTTTTAAACGCGAAATATACTAGTTAAACTTGAACTGTTAAGCTTTAGAGTTTTATTTAATTTTTTTAATTTATATATGTATTATCTATTTATATAATTTCTTAACAAATAATAAATAAAAAATGGACGTTTACAGAGTATGTAAAATTGTGTAATAATATTTATATGGACTGTTTTTACAGCTTTAAAATCACAAAGTAGCATGATAAAATGTTATCAAGCCCGAATAAATAATAAGAATTGCCGTGTTATTTTTGTCTCCAAATTTTATGTAGTTATCTGGTAACGTTCAGAGGAGAGGCGACCGAAAAATAGCGTCATAAAAAAGACATAAAAAAGCGATATACGGAATTAGAAGTAAATTTGCACAAACATGGAGAATCAGGGGAGTCTAATATATAATGGAATAAATTATGGTCCTTTTACATTTTGTAAGAATGTGTGTTTTTACAAAATGTACAATCTGGTGTATATTGTTCTCTGTTAACGACATGTTATTATGATGTTATGTTCACTAAAAGTATAAATTATGACAGCAATATGTGGTCAGCGCAATGCTGCATTTTGCTAATTCCATATTTAGCTTCTAGTTAATTGCTACGAACTGCGATGTTCTTGTCACAACATTATGTATGTTGCAACCACTGAGTAATTAATTTTTAAATAGTTTTCATAGTTAGTTTTTGAGAGTTTTAAAATATAATTTTTAATAATAAATAATATGTACATACATGTTTTATTTTGTATATATAATTCTATGTATCCACGTTCTTATGTCTATGTTTCTGCAATAAAGAGTTTATTATTATTATAAATAATATTATAATTTTTAAATTTAATATCTAGATTTCCAGACGAAGTTCTTGAAGATGTTTAAGAAAAATTATAAATTTATTAGACCTAGTGGGGATAGACCGACCCGTTGATTAATATAAGCTATACATTGTTACCATTACACCAACAAGTCTGTCGGTTTAAGAGCTTTGACCCACCATGCTATTTCAGTGGTGGTTGGTGGGCTTTGTCAGCTTTACATTCTCTCTGAACCACCTACTTCCAAACAGACTGGGAAAGTACAAGTATATTCCTAAATAAAACACATTGATTTCAAATACCGAAGTAACATTCCCCCCGATTTATTCTTATGACGTCATTACTTTCGATCCGGTCGTGTATAATTTTCAGGAGGATTTTATAAACCCTTAACCGATTTGCATCCGTGTATTTCCCGCGCAATAAAGTCAACTTCCCCGATTCGAAACCAATCAGTCAAAGGGACTTCGAAAATTGTGAATTTCAGCGTGATTTCAGCGAATCTAGTCTACGGGTCATGAGCAAAACTGTCGATCCAAATCGTTGTGAAAACATAACGGTTCATTAGCTTCGAAGCGGAGGCTGCGAGCAAACAGTATATTTTATCTTACACCTTATTCACACACCGACGTCTAACGTACACTCAATCTCGCCCGAGACATGTTTAAAACCCTGCTTATAATCAGCCTGCTGGGCGCCTTCTGCGACGCGGGGTCACGCCAACGAAGATACTTGGTATATCCCGACGGTGGACCAGCTCGAGCGCAGGTATCTATATTTTCCTCCTCCGTGTAAATTTACATTTCGATTTAAAGTTAAGTAAATGATGTTTTCTTTTACTGGATCCGGCTTAACGAAGCAGTGTTTTTTATTCGTGAATTCAAATGCAATTAACTCGGGCGCTCTCGGCCCGCTTTGCTTAAGTTAATTTTTTATTTAGCTCCGATATTTTTTTTTCTCGGATCCCATTAGATCTTTGAGCGCTTTTAGTGCTTTGAATCGCGCTTTTTGATTACTTAGATTGTAATTATTTATTGGAGTAGTTCGTCTGTGTTTCGGAAATAATAAACTCTAAAAAATTTAGCACCGTATCAATGACACGAATTATAATATTATTTCAATCACTGCTGTAGCTAAATGTTAAAGTTGTCTAGGATTACGTTAAACGTGAGGAATTGGGTTCGAATTCCGAGAAAATAATAAATTGATACGGTGGGGCAAGGCACAGAAGTCAAGTAGTGAATCAAACTATTTTTCTATAAATAAAAGCCGATCACTGAAACGTTTATGTTAGAAGCTGTTGTGTTTCGCTAAAGTGGAATTGTTTCATAATTGTTAATTAAGTAGGAAGACGCAAGAAACGGCGAAGGTAATTCTATTTGATTAGTTCCCGAAAGCGGGGCTTAGTGGGTCGGAATGATTTAGGTATTCACTGTAATCATGTAAGCGTGATTAAGCACTATACCTTAGGAATTAATAGTAGTAATTCTGCACTAATAATATTAATTAACTTAAGCTTCGAGTTTGCTATTAGAAGTTAATTGCTTGTCTCTTTAAACATCTACTTTTAAAACACAGTGGATAGCAATATTTATAAACTTCACGTGTTAGATATATGAGATAGAAGACAAAAAATAATTTTAGAAAGGCGGTACGCGAAGCTGAGACTAACAGTGTAATGTGCTAGTAAAACTAATGAGCTAACACACTATTACGCGTGGCTTCTAGTCACGTCATCATTAATTTCTAACTACTTCAATACCGGATTCTGTTTGTATATATTTGCTACATGATGTTTATTTTTAGTTTATTGTAGGTCTCGGTGTACCCGTGGATTTGAAAGAAGCCTCAGTCACAGTTGGATCTGTTATCAAATTCCAATATGACTTACCAACTAACAGTTCCGAATATACAAGTCGTATCTTTGGATTTGCGGACACAGTTTCAAGAGATATGGATGGAGAGTCCGATAGGGAAGAAGTTAAAGACACAAACGATGGAAGAGAAGTTGATAACAATGATTTAAACTACGCTGATAATGATACTTTAGTAGATATTACGTTTAATGATAGACGTAAGAGAGCTTTATTTTACAGCGAAGGCAGTGTTATAAAGGAGAATGATATTAATACAGAGTTGCCACTAGATGAAGCTATACGCCGGCAAGAGAAGATCGATCAAGAAGTATTAGAAGAGCAAGAACCGCAAAGGATGAATAGATGGGATCTGTATAAAATTCTCGAGCACATGATTGAAAGGTGAGTCTCAAAATCTTGATATCTTCCAAAACTAACGTTAATATGTCTCATCTTAGACAAAACGTTCAGGTCTTTAAAGGTTTTAAATTGTTTAGCTAGATAGAAAGAAACTAAAGTTAATTTTACACATAGTTTCAAGTATAACTTGCTCGGCTTTCCGAACTTGCCTCCGAGTACTGTTTAATATTTTGTGTACATTGTTCGTCAAGTTGGGTCCTGAAGCGGTTGACAAACAATTTTAACTTACTCCAACAGAAGTGTTAAGATTCCTAACAATCTGTATTTACTTGTACCGAAGCTTCTCTAAAATAGACTTCCATTAAAACTCCAACGGAACATATTTTAATTCTAATGTGAATTACGTTAGAATTTCATCCATATGATAATTATGTTAACGAGGTCAGTCTTAATTAACAACCTTAACGTTATGTATATTAAACTAAGCCAAGTTTAAATACTTATATTAAATTTGATATAATTGAGGTTTATAGAGCTTATGGTATTCGTTTTTCAGATACGGTTACACAGGCAGGCCATGTCTATTGCGAACCATATGTGAAGCAGCCGAGGTGCCTTTTACCTATGAAAATGGTTTGCTCGGCGAAATTGGCCATATTTTATTCACGTAAGTAGCTAACTCGGAATAACCGAATTTCTTTGGCCCCAGCAGGGTTAGCAAATTAAACTTTTGTCACGTTTGTGAACCTAGGCTTTATAATAATAAACCAAATAAGAGTGAATTAGAGTCGCGTATAAGGGGTTCCGTACAAGAGTAAAACTGACGAAAATTTCAACGAACTATATTGTTTGTTAACTCGAAATAAGGAGTTAGTGATTAGTAGTGAACACCTAAAAATACCATAGATAAAGAAGTTATTAAATAATTTAGTAAGGTAGTTGTTCATGTAATCTGTGTGTCGGTAACCCTAAAAGCAAGCCACGATGCTGAATTTGAGAGCGGGTAACGAACAAAGCTGTATTAAAACTTGTACTTAAATATTTTATAGTGGCTGCGAAAAGTGATGAATATACTTCCAGATTCTTTAACCTTGAGATTTAGAAATATGACACTTGGTTTATTTGAATGATTATTATTGTAAATATAGTCTTAGCGACATCAATCTGGACAGCTTTATTTTCAAAGAAGTAAGTTAACAATTGTGAGGCTTTTTCAAGAATTAATACCAGGAAGAATAATTTTTACTGCTATGGCAGAGTATAATATGTATTGTATAAGTTTTTCATAGATTATAAATTTTTGTATTAAAACGAAAAAGGCATTGCACATGAAAACAGACGATGAAACGTTTGGGGGATTCGACCCTGCAACGTTTCGTTGTTGTTCTTACTAATTAGTTTTTTTTTTGTTGGTTCAATTTAAAAGAGGAAAAAGGAAGAGTAAGAAGAAGTGCAAATGAAATCTTATAATGTCATTTACTCCAATGCTAATATAATTCGATAACTATTTCTTAATTACCTTTCAAAGCCTAAAACTATATTTTAATGTAATAAAAGGCGTAAAAATATGAAAAGTCAAGTATATTTTTTTCAATTAAAGTAAATTTAATTTATATCTTCTTATACAATTGCATGTAATCTTTTGTAAATATTTTCAGGCCCTCAAGCACCAAAGACATCATATCCCATCACACAGATAACGAATACCACGCAGCTGAAAGGCTCGGTCGGTCTGTGGTACGAGCTGGCGGAAGCTGCGAGAGTCTGTTTCCAGAATGCGAATCGTCCGTTTTGGATACGTTCACTCAAATTGGCATTCATACACTACAAAAGTTCGGAATAGATTAAAGGAATAAATGTTTTAAGATAACCGTATGTTGTTAATTATACCTCTATTAAACGAAAGCTTAGATTTTTTAAATTAAAAAATTCGAGATAAATAAAGTATTGATTTGATTGACATAATAACGAAACCCCGTTTCCTGCTCTGGAATACACTTTTGCGTCATTTTCAGTAAAGGTATTTATATACCGATGAGTAGTTGGTGGAACTTTTCTTTTTAAATCTATGAGTATTTGTAAAATTAAATAAAATACCGAGGCAAGAAAACAGTTAAGTGTACAAAAGCTTTATTAATAAGATCCTAAAAAGTTTCAGTTTCAAATTTGGAACATGATACTACATAAAAGATAAAAAACGACATAAAATTATAAACTCTTATAAATGTATTTTTTTATTAAAGTTAATATAATTAAGATTCTCCTTTATCTCTCTCGTCATCATGTCTCTCGCTAAACATGTCTATCAAAGAAATCGGACAGCTGTACTCTGCACAGCCTTCTTGACGCTTTCCTTCGTTGTAAGCTTGTACGTAGGGAACAGCATCTGTTACTTCACCTTGTGTTATATCATTTTCAGGACTGAAATATGAAAGAAATATATATAAGGTAAAAATACCCTAGCCTAATATCATGTAAATTTGACTTTGGCAATTGAGAAATATACAGACTTTCCAGTCCCAATAGCGATTAAACTTACTGAGGGTAGTTGTACATCAGATGGAATTTCGATATTACTACCTCCCACTTGAAACCCAGGTTAATGCGTAGACCAACATGTTTCAGTGGACGTCAAACCTACAACCCGTTGATTAGTAATACTTTGTTAATGTATTGACTCCTCCTATCCTTAACAAAAATCGTGACGGTGGACATGTACGCAACTTTCAGTCGTTTGAACCCACTCAATTGTTACGGCATATGTGACAGGGGCACAAGTCTCGTCTCGCATAGAGGGTGATTTAGAGAAACCAAGCACGCTGATTCAGTGTGGATTGGTAGGTTTTATTGACCATGTCATTAAATTAGTGATGGAAAGGGAGACAGCAAGGTTAATTTCCTTAAAGAATTTTCTCCATTAAAAAAAATAATCTTAAGTAACAATCTGTTAAGATAAGTGTTTTTAGATTATACTTTTAACAGTGTATAAGTAACCTAATATAAGATACACTACTGTAATCGTAGATACGATAGAACGTTATAATTCCATGGGTCTACATAACTTACTTCAAGACAAATGTAGCAAGTTCGTGGAGAAGATCGTCTTCGTGGACCGAGTGCAAAGGTTCGGCGCCCAGTTGACACAATGTTTTCATCACGCAAGTTGTTCCGTTGTAACTGAAACTAAAATCCATTTTATAATGGACAGTACTTCCACTGATTGCGGAATGAATATTGTATTGGGTATTTTAATATCGAAGTACAGTCAATTGTAGAAGTGGAAAACGTTTAAATTTATATCATTATCATTTTTACATGCACTCCTAAGCTTTTCACAAAGTTGGAAATATATGTAATGGAAAGTATTTTTGAGAAAATAAGGGAAACTACGATAGCATACAATGCAGTAAATATATTTCGGCACCTACAAGGTATAATAAATAATAATTATTTTTATTTATTTATCTAAAATAGATTTTGAACTTTTTTTTTGATAAAATTAATTTCCGTATTAGGAGTTGGTAAGATATATAAAAATGAAATATTTAAATATTTTTGTTATTACTGGAATTAAGCCCTTGGTACCTTTGCTTATAACATTTTTTGATGTTTATTATTATAAAAATGTAGGTGATGGTAGCCTGAGTGATGGACGTGGAGTATTTTTATGATAAAGAAGAAAGGCAAGCATGGCCTTGATGGAAGGTTAAATACCCCCGGCCAAAAATCAAAAGAGGATGTGTTGTTGACATCTTTTGGAATTGAATATTTGGTAATTAATAGACTAATAGCAAAACGAGACAGTTTCAGAAAAATTATAAATTGTTTATATTAGACTCTGGGTGTGTATCGATCTCAGGACCTGTTGGTATTAGCAATACGTTGCTAGTCTAAGACCAAGGAGCCCGTGAAAAAAGCCGAGAGCTTTTTCTTCAAACATTGACCCCATCATCAATCAAATAATTCCAAGATCCAATAGACCAATCTCGCAAACTTGTATCGCTACTCGTAGCATAAACGCGTTTCCGATTGTACAAACAATGATAAATTATAATAAATGACATCGCCAAAATGGAAATTGACGAAACCAATTTATCTGAAAATTGCTTCCTGCAGGACCTATCGCATTGTCAGAATGTAATAAATCAATGTTGATAACTTTTCTGCGCGTTTTTGATGTTTCGCAAAAAATATTGTTCGCGGGGCATATTTCATCTGACTAAGCATTGTTTAAATAAGTTTTAAGCTGCGTAGATGCTTCGGTTGATTGTTTGCTGTCTTCGGTTTTATAAGAGTTATATTGAGTTTTTCTTGCTACAAGAGAAAAGAGTGGGTCGATGTTTGAAACTTTTCTATTATAGAAGACAAAAGACAAGCATAAATTCGTGGAACGATATACCTCAGCCCTATAATTTCAAATTAAGAAGCACTGTCGATCTATATCGCGAGTCAAGTATCGTTGAAGACATACAACAACGTAAAAATCAGAGTTACAGTTTTTGTCCCACATTTTTTTTATGACATAGGGCGAAAGACAATCATATAAAGTCTAGAAGAAGGTCACACACATAAGAGTAAAATTCCGTGTCCCTCGTGGGGCATGGGGCGAACACATTGCTCTTTACAAGCAAGTAGTTGATTAAACCCTTGCCCGACCAAAACAATAAATTTTTTCCTCAGGATTCGAACCTAGGACCTCTTACGCTTAATGAAATGTACTTTTGATCATTTATCTATAACTAGCAGTCAATTAAAATGCGTTGCTGTCTTGACAAACATAAAAAGGTAACACTAATTTTATATTGGCAATATTTAATACGAAAGTGACATAATTTATGGCTTATAGCAAGAAATTGATAACACGAGAGGTAAATGATATGAAGGGTGAAAATCGCAGGGATAGAAGAAGCATTTAGGGGGCGCATTTTGAAATCTATGAAGCGTACAAAATCTGACGCGCATTTAAGATCATGTCCCATTTTGTAATGTCATCGATGTTACACATACTATATAGAATGAACGATGTTTCTGTCGTGTAAAAGAGAAGCTTCCTTGAGTTTTTACTCCATGTTTGTTTATTTAGAGATTACGCTTTAAATTTAAAGTAAACCATTGTAAGTTTTTTTTTAATAAATTAAAAATATTGATATTTCTTCTATATATCATTTGAAAGTTAACACAACATTACACATTTTTTAATAATCAGTTTCAATCCTCGTTTTTAGCATAGTGCTGTTTATTGGTTTATTGAATTGTTAATATTAATGTTTTCTAATGTTTAATTTAGAAGCATAAAAATTTTCATTCTGTAGGTAAAGCCAGTAAATAACACTTCAACGGTATAAAACGCGAAATATCTTTGCATTGCTTTCTCATTTGTGGTTTCCCTGTGATCACGGCTGCTGCAAAGCATCCGAAACGTTAGGCGATTGTTATAATAAAATTTTAATATGTTTAACTAATATATTTAGCGTTTTAAACCGTTAAAGTGTTTTATTTAAAAGAAGTATGGAAATTTTGTTTGTCATTATGTTAATGAAACATGTACGTACCCATTCAAGACATCTTCGACATACTTATAGAAATGGTACAATTTAGCGTCGCTCTTGTAAGCATCAGCGTCGCGTTTCCCCCTAGAACTGGTCACATAAGCGTTGTTGGCTTCCAAAATGTCGATAGGTATCTGACTGCGGTTCCAAGGCAGTTGGAAGTTTGCTTGAAACGCCCAATTTACGTTGATGGTCTTTACCGGCGTCGGAGTACCCACCCCAGCGTTGACCTGAAAATGTTTACACGCAAATATGAATAGTAACGCAATTACATTAAGTTCGAAAGTTCCGTGATAAAAATGAAACTCGCGTTGCATCTAACGTCGTCTCGAGTTTGTTGAGGTTGGGACAAAATGTTCCACATCGAAGGTAAATTCAATCAAGGTAGCGAAATGCATCCTTTGAGATGCTAAAGTGTTTATAAAATAGGCGGAACGTACTTAACTCCAAATGGGGTCATTAGGAAATAACAGGCTGTACTTGGTTCGGTCTAAAGCAGAAATAGTCGTAAAAATAATATTATCATTAGAGTCGTATGTCTTATTGAAATAATGCAAATGATTATTATTTATTTGATATTTATAATATCTTCTTGGGTTTAACGTAAAAACAAATAAATTTTCAGGGTACAAGTATTTTAACTAGAATATCGAATATTTGCTTCCGAACTTGTTTGCTCGAACTTTGCCCAAATTGCTCGTAGATAACCTGACTACTACGCTACGATACGCTGCTACGATAAACTGGTTATTCTTGCAAAGGTTGAGGGTAGAAGAGCACAGAGGATCACCTACCAGAGGATGAATAGACTGAATCGACAAAGCAATGACAAGAACGACCATCAACAATGAAAAATCTAAGAATAAAATAGTAATAACATGAGCTGACCAGACAAACGCTAATTTGCCATATGATTACCACAAACACGCTTCTTGTAAGTTTAAAACATAGACAAAACTGTTGTTGACATTTTTTGAGATAAAGAAAGAAGAAAAAAAAAGAAGTAAAAAGCAGAATAATTATTTCATACATATTTCTTGGGTATCTTAAACCGTTTTCGTAGCGCACGCAATGGAAGCCCTCAAATATTGAACATTTCCCTCGTTTCTCCACACCTATTAGTCGCATTGTGATTTTATATAGCCTAAAACCTTCCTAGATAAATGGTCCAAAAAAAGAAATAATTTTTCAATTCGAACCAGTAGTTACCGAGATTAGTGCTTTCAAACAAACTTTTCAGTTGTATAATATTAGTATAGACGTACCTGAAGTAATGAAGAATTTGGGTATAACAGTTGCCGACGACCCCTACTCAAAACACCCTCATCAATATCAAATTTAATGCTTTCAGTACAGCTGATGAGGATAACATTCAAAAGCACAATAATTTTAACTAGCAGCTCTAGTACTTGTAGTTTGTGTACTTCATTCATCTTCAAATACTTTCAACCTGAAAAATCAGAAAATCTTAGTTATTGTGTTTATAACTATTTAAAAAATCGATTTTAGTTTGAAATAGGACAAAGACAAGTAAAAAATGTTTTTTTTTTCAATCTAAAATCGATTTTAAATTTTTGTAGCGCCATCACGTGCAATAATAAGTTATATAAAAAAAATCTTTCTAATAAAGTTTAGTAAAAACTGTCGTGTTTTTAAGCTGCAGTTTATGAACTGGCATCATAACACTGTCCATTTCTAATTGTCAAATACGTAACATTGATTTAGGGAGATAAATCACGGTAAACGGCTCAAAACGCAAAATCTATTAGTTAATTTATTTTTATCGCTAACCACGGTTTCATGTGTAATATTTAACTTACGTGAACGTAAGATGTAGTTATTATAAAGATATTAATTTATCGATAAGAATAAATTTATTTCGTTACCCATACAGATATTGAATTCTATGTTTTACGTTAATCCCTTGTACACGACCGTGTAGCTCTAATTTTGGTTACATGATGTTAGTACATGCTTACTCCGGCGTTTGTCAAGTCGTGATCTATGTTGTATAAAGAAATTAGGACGATATCATCACGTGACGATTTGTAAGGCTTAGTCCATAATGTTGTATAAGATTTATTGGAAAATGCTTTATCCAGCTGATATAAATCTAGTTAATAAACAGGTAAAAATTGGTACCAAGCTATGTGGTGAATTTCAATGAAATTAATTTTGATTATGAGTATTAGATTTCTTATTTGAGATTTTAGATTATATTAGAATTCGGTAGGTGAAATCAATTTATTTTGAGTGTGTAGAATTATTTTTATAAAAACACGAAACGCAATGCAAGGTGTGAGTATTAATATTTGTACGCCCAGTTTACGATAATTTAGCATAATATCATAATCGATATTTCGTTATATTTCCAGATATATAATAATATAAAACTCGCTAAGAGTTATATTTATTAAATGAATATGTTTAAATAAAACAATTTAACGGTTTAAAATGGCCCGACGTTTCGGATTGTTTGCAGCAGTCGGGACCACGACTTTAACTAATATATCGCGTTTTAAACCGATAAAGTGTTTTATTGAAATGTGTACCACCCGCGTAAAGTATAGACAGTATTTAAGTGAATATGTATATTTTTAGAGAAAAATATATTTTTTAGACCGAAGAGTTCAATAAACTTGGCGCACAAATGTTGGTAGGAAAGAAAATCGTGATCGTTTATTTCACACAGCGTCATTCATTACATTATAATATCAATCATTATAGTTAATCCAACATAACTAGATATATATTTTTATCATTCTAACCACCTGATTTAGATATGATGACATTGGATCGATACACGATACACTCTGTCGCGATCTGTGAATTTCATAACGACAGAACTAATGATAAGTATTATTACAACATTATAAAAGAGGGCAGTTGTTAAAAATTCGTATATATCATGTGAACATGGCTTTCTATCGAAAGGTACAAACGTTGGGTCGTAGCTAACTCAATTATGGCCCTTTAGGAACCTGGAGTAACGTGATAGATCTTGGTATCTATACATCATGACGAGGTAAGTTTGAACAATTTATTTAACAATTACTACTACAATAAAATTATAAGCTTCCTTCCCTGATTCCGTTCGTCTAGAGTTAGTTAAACCTAACACCCTTTCAAAACCTGCCCTTAGTGGGGTTCTGTTCTTATCGTATCCTTGTTGTAATAGGTTTTCATAATAGATTTTTTTTATCTTCTTTTTCATGTTTGATCTTTAACTAAACACACACAATAATTTCAACAATAGTTAATATTTAATCTGTGGCTTTCAGTTTAATGTTACTATTTCTAACATTAATATTCGTCAACAATGTCAAAGCTAATGTGTATGAAGAAGATTCTAAAGAGTTAAGGGTGAAGAGACAAGCTAATTCTTTACCGTTAATATATCCTTATGGAGGAACATATAAGGTACGCAATTCGTTTACTGATTAAACAGTCAGTGATCAATTTGGAGTTTTTCTTTCTGGAAATTTGCAATTAAAAAACCGATAAATTTGCCTGAGATCTTAGCCATGATAACTATAGTCAGAAATAAAAGTATGTTTATAACAGATACAATATTCATGCAACGTCGGTTAATGCTTTTTTTTCACTTAATTTTTTAAAACCTGTCGTTTTTTACCAATTGGATAGTTTATCTATAATGTAAGGTAGTTATAAGTTGGACAACAAAGTTGTTATTTTTACTTGCAAACATTAATTGTCAGTTGTGTTTTTCATTGTCATTTCCAGCTAGTTATGGGATTCTCTTGTCCCGTCCCGAACAAAGACATGGTGCCCATGAGTTTTGTGGTCAGTTTCCAATACCAGTTTGTGCAGTTCCAAAATATTTCTGAACTATCCAAATATTACATTATCAAGGAAGTTTCCAGAGAGGAAAGAGATGCAAATCTCGTGGGCAGGAGGGACGAGAGGCAGGCGTTCTATACATCTGTAGTGGATTTGATGGAGTCGTAAGATTTTCGCATGTTTTACATAGTAGTATTTATAGGAAGTACGTCAATAAAGTAATATATTATATAAATGCTTTTGTTGCCTTTTTTTATCACAGAGAAGGACAGATAAGCTTAGAATATACACAGATTTTTCATGACTTTTTGATCTGTAGACGATGGTTTATAACCTGCAGGGAATGTCATTAACTTATCTCCATTAAATAGCCAGCTATACCAGAAGACGAAAATTTAAAATATATATATATATATATTAGTTTGTTAGAAACTTGGTGTTGGTGTGGAAATTAACTAAGCTGTCGTCTATCGGAATTAATGTTTAATTCTGAATTTTAATATTTCCGGCTCATCTTAAGCTCTATAAAGTGACTTTATAATTAAGGATCTTTCGATTTTTTTAGAAAAGGATATAACGGTGAAGATTGTGTACTAAGATCACTTTGTGAAGCTGCCCAGCATCCATTGGACGAAGATGGTCTTGTCGGTGAACTTTTACACATATTATTGACGTAAGTTTGATTCTTAAGAGGCTTGGTCTATAAAAATACTGGAAATGTATTTTTAAACACTTTAAACGGTTTAAAACGTATCTACAATTGATATTAATTATGGGCCTACGTTACGGATGCTATGCAGACTGGAGAAGGAGGGTGTCCCTAACGTCATACTCAAATCTGCTAAGCTAGCGTTATCAGAAACATTGGTCGGTAGTTGAAAAGAATTGTAGATAAGTTAACTAACATATCCCGCGTCTCTGACCGTTACAATTGTTTTATTTAAATGTGCACTATTCGCGTAAACTGCAGGTGATACATTTTAATAAGGGTTTTTAATTTACAGACCAGATTATGGACGAACGGAATTTGTAGAAGACCCGGAATGGAAGGAGACTATGGCGACTTACCTGGATGCTACCACTGCAGGGCGACAGATGTTTAATTGTGGCTTTATTTACAACAAGTGTCCGGAAGGAGAGGGTATCTTAGAGCTTATATCTACGCTTGAAGATGGATGACAAAATGTTTAAGAAATGTAATAAAACGAAATGAACAAGATTCATTGTTTAATTTTAAATACAAAGTCATTTTACTTATTTACTTATCAGCCATAGATAAGTGTCTCTATGCAGACATATTTCTGCATCTCTTTAACTAATTTTGTATATACATGAAGGTCATAAAAATGTGATTCTTTGTACTTCCAGAACGAAATTATTTATTATTTTTCTTCAGAGTCAAACTTTGTCAGGTATGTTAGATAATTTACTTCCGTATATATATAGCAATAATAGGTTGACGATGCACCCTGTTTACATGTTATATGGCTGGGGTTGTTTTTAAATAAATCACTTTAACGGTTTAAAACGCGATATATTAGTTAAACTACTACTTGGGGTTATTTTACCTTCCATAATGTAAATCCCATGCTTGCCTGTCTATAAAAAGTCCTCGTCATGGTAAGGACTTGTAGACATCCGTTATAGTTAAATTATTAAATAAAAAGCGCATATTAACTTAAAATTATCAATACTCCAAAAAAGCCTACAAAGAATTAAGAATAGAATTTATATTTAACTCTCGCCACGAATAGACAGAATTTTGTGACTTAATTGAAGTTTCCTTAATCAAAAACTTGTAAAAGCGTTGTAATGAGGTAGGGCTGAAAGAAACCGCGAGATTGGAAGAGCAATCGCCCCAAGCTATAAATCAAGGAATTTATTTAAAATTCTCGAAAAGCCTTTTTCTGAAAATATAATGAAGCGTGGAATGGATGAAGATAACTGAGTCGGTGTTCAAAACTTAGAATTTAGAGCAAAACTTCTTTTTTAAGCGATATAACATGTTTATGTATAATATAATCGTAATACCAGTTGCCTTTTTATTATAAAAATGTAAGTATAGTCTATAGGTACGCGAGTAGTACATATCTAAATAAAAATTTTTTTTCCGTTTTTTAAATATTTTTTTTTTTTTTTTTTTTTTTGCACATGAAGGCACTATACAATTTAAAAATCGAATATAAATTGAAAAAATTTTCGACTCGGGCAGGACTTGAACCGGCATCGTCAGCTTTCCGTGAAAAAATTTTTCCAATTTTTTTTCCCATTTTTAAATCATATAGTGCTTTTTTTTTTTTATTTTTATATACACCCCCCTCTCACTGTTATTTTTATTTTTTTACTTTTATTTATGTATTTTATTTTTTTTTTTTTTTTTTTTAAAAAAAAAATAAAAAAGGAAAAAAAAAAAAGGGGAAAAAAAAAAAAAAACAAAAAAAAAAAAAAAAACTACATGTCATCAAATAAAAATAATCTTTTCAACTATGACTGGAGTAATTTCATCTATCATCGATTTCTTAAGCTGCAAAGCAAAAGTCTTTGCGCCTTCCCCCCGGGGTGAGGTGGAAATTCCCTTCCCCGGGGGGGGGGGGCCTCAATCTTTGGAAAATATCCCCCCCGGGGGGGGGGGGGCCCCCCCCCCCCCCCCCCCCCCCCCCCCCCCCCCCCCCCGCCCCCCCCCCCGCCCCCCCCCCCCCCCCCCCCCCCTTTTTTTTTTTTTTTTCCCTTTTTTCTTTTTTTTTTTCCCCTCCCCCCCCCCCCTCCCCCCCCCCCCCCCCCCCCCCCCCCCCCCCCCCCCCCCCCCCCCCCATATATTTTTTTTCCCCCCCCCCCCCCCCCCCCCCCCCCCCCCCCCCCCCCTATCCTTTTTTTTTTTTTCCCCCCCTCCACCCCCCCCCCCCCCCCCCCCCCCCCCCCCCCCCCCCCCCCCCCCCCCCCCCCCCCCCCCCCCCCCCCCCCCCCCCCCCCCCCCCCCCCCCCCCCCCCCCCCCCCCCCCCCCCCCCCCCCCCCCCAAAAACACCCCCCCCCCCCCCAAAAAACTCCCACTAAATAACAAAAAAAAAAAAAAAAAAAAAAAAAAACACCCCCCCACCCCCCCCCCCACCCCCCCCCTTTTATAATTGTGAACATTTTAATTAAATGGAAAATCGACGAGCCCGGGAAGCAATGCACGGCTAATACTCAACTGGCCGTGGGTTCGTATGTGCACTGGACCTACATGTTAAATACTATGACTATGACGTATGTGATGGACATACATATACTACATAAACAAAGACAATAATAGTACACACGTATCGTTTACTCGTATCTTTGTAAATTAGTTGAAACTACTGTGCGAAGCAGGAAAATCATGCTTTCAACTGTTTGCATAGACTATGTTTTGCTAACACTATTCTCCTATAGTAACACGTCTACATTTAAGTATTAGTTTTGTTGGTGTAAAGAGCTTATTTAAGTCCTTTCATTGTGTTTAATAAAAGTTGTTACCTTTATAGAAATATACGATCAAAATGATAACGTAAGTGTCTTTGATAAACAAAGGAAGAGATTGGTTTATAATTTACTAATAATATAAACGGTTTTATACTGGAAATATATTCAATAATTAAATTTTATATATTGTACGCGATCCTCATTAATTTTTAATATGTATCACTAGCGTAAATTATTATTACAATTAAACTTCAACCATCTCTTCCATGTTAGCTTCATCTAGTAACAATAACAAATCTTCTACTAACTTAAAACATTTACTAGCATTTAAGTTACTTTTTTTTCAGTGTAATAGTAGTGTGTATATTGATAATGCAAATTAGAGTAATGAGAGCTAATATTCCATATGAAGATATCTGCGAGTCTCAAAGGGTTACGCGACAAGTCAATTCCTTACCGCTTGTGTATCCATACGGAGCAACTTATAAGGTAAGTCAAACGTTCAACATGGAAGGTCTCGGGTTTGATTCCGGGAAACGTAATTAATTGTTTAATTCAATCAGTGAGCATTTGCCTGCCGGATGTTCTAAGTTTTTGAAATGCCCTGTTACTATACTACAAACTATGAATTATTAGTTTCCTACTGTCGCACAGTCTTTATAAGATTGCATACGAATTAAAAAATTGAAAAATATACATAAAATGTTTAAATAACGGTTTAAAACGCGATAAATATAGACATTTTCAAATTAGTTTAACTAATATATATCGCGTTTTAAACCGTTAAACTGTTTTTATTAAATGTGTACTACTCGCGTAAACTACAGACAGTATATAAGTTTCAAATGTACTAATTATTATTATTTATTCTTCTATTCTTAGCTCATCCTAGGGATGTCTGCTCCGGTTAAAAGTAAAGATTACGTTAGCTTGGCTTTTGTCATGAACTTCCAATACCAGTACATCCAGTTCCAAAACATATCGCAGCTATCTCGATACTATATTATAAAAGAAGTGTCAAGAGAAGAAAGAGAAGCTGATATACTAGCCAGAAAGGACGAAAGGCTGATTTTTTACAGAGCTGTCGCGGTTTTGTTAGAAATGTAAGTATTGTTATTATTAGTAAAAAAATATACAAATGTCCCCTTTTTTTCACACATTCCTAACTTAAATAAAACACTTAAACGGTTTCAAACGCGATATATTTTAGTTAACTTGATGGAAGGTAAAATACCCTAGCCATATAATATCTCAACAAGATACGCTCTCTACCAATATTTTTGAGTATTCGGAAAACCACAGAATGATCGACACTGCAATAAAGTTTCACGGCTTTATCTATCGACGATGGTACGTGACCCGGACGGAATTTCGATCCTACCCATAATGTCCAGATTTTTAGAAGTAGGTCTAACATGTTTCAGTTTGATGAGAAACATGTTACACCCAATGGATATCGAATCCACGACCCTGGTTATGAATCTTACTATGCTACCGTTTGAGCCCGCCAAAATTTCTTCGAGAATCCATTTTCACACTGATTGTTGACGATGAGCGTTACGCCGCTGCGCCGACGCAGTGTGCCCTTAAACATTAGAAGAAACAAACACTATAATATCTAATCCTTCAAATACACCTTTGTTTAAACTGACCAGATACGTTTGAATTTTCGTGTAGCGGAGTTGAATTTAGAAATGAATATAAATTATCCCATTCGTTGCGGCCGTACCGGCGGTTTAACATACATAATGGGTCTCTTGAGAAATATCCCAAATTTTGTGGAAAATCGAAAATCATAAAGCGATTGCGGCGTGAATGGAAAATGTATCCGGAAATTATTACGTTACGTTATCGCAACTGTATCGGCTTCTCGTTTAATTATTTGTTCTGTCCACAAATTATTTATATAGTATAATTAAATTAACTGCTGTAGCTAAATGGCTAAACTAGCATTGTGAAAAGCGCGAGAGGTTTGGTTCCAACCCCAGAGGTAGCAGTAAATTATTTTGGTCAGAAAGGGAGCAGAATTCAGATCAATTACTTAATTGTAAATATAATCGATCTGTAAAATGGACACAAAAATGTGTTTGCCCCATGACCCACGAAGGGGAACGGGACTTCACTTATATTTAAATTAAAGATAACTTCTTGAATATATATTACATATTGTTTATGTTTATAGTCCCACTGAGACATGACTGTTGTAAAGCATCGAGTCGGGTAGTTATCGCGTTTTAAGCGGTTATAATAACCATAATCTAATAAAATAATAAATTTAAGAAATACATTTTGTACACAGACATTATCGTAGCTGATTAAAAATTATCTTTTTCTTACTGTTATTTCTTCGTCTTATTCTTGATTTCAATTCTATTAGATACTCATCGTACTAAAATTATTCCAGGAAAGGAATGAACGGCGAGGACTGTGTATATCGAGCGATTTGCGAGACGGCACAATTCCCAGTTGGTGACGATGGTCTCTTTGGAGAAATTTTCCACGTTTTATTGACGTAAGTTGCGTATCTCTATATGGTTATGCTAACACATAAGACTAGTTGGCGCTCGCTGCTTTGTATTAATGAAGTATTTTGAAGAAGTAGAGTTCATAAATTAAACGGTTTGAAACGAGACATATATGAGTTAACTTATTTACAAGCACCCCCGTGACCGCGCTTGCTGCAAAGCATCCGAAACGGTCGTTAGAATAAATTGTATGTTAGTAAACTAATTCGTTGGACGTTTTAAAATATTTAAAAATATACTACTCCCATAAACATATGTAGATTTCTTACACAGACTGAGAAGAAGTTTATTGTATGAGCTTTCAAAACATATGGCCGCTGTTTGTATGTATGCTCTATGTGTATTTTATTTATTTAATGTAATGAAGACAGATTAACGCAAACGGACTTACTTTTAAAGGTGTCGTTTTAAATACAGAACCCAAAAAAATGATTTAGCTGAATATTACATTTTACAGCCCAGATTACGGTCGCAATAGGTTTGACGAGGACCCAGACTGGCGAGAGGAAATGTCTCCATACCTTGATGCAGCAACAGCAGGTAGACAGATGTTTGACTGTTCCTACGTGTATCATAAATGCCCTGAAGGTGAAGGTGTCTTAGAGCTTATATCAGCTCTAAGGGACGAGTAAAACTCATTAGTAACTGTTTGGTTACACGTTTCTTATTAAAAAAAATATCTATATAATAATGTGTTGACAAATAAAAAGCACAAACAGTTTTTTTTATTTATTATTTTACTGTTAACAATGAAAAAGGATCAATAAAGTATAAGGGACTTGAACCGACATCCACACCGTACTTTTGCTCTTATCAAAAACAAATCAATCGAGCTACCGTATACCGTGGTTAGAGCGACATCACCACTGTGGATGCCGTTTCGAGTCCCATCTGTGTCGTAATTTTTTTGGTAATTCAATTTTTAATTGATATAATGTGCATGTGACAAACATGTGAAAAATATTACAGATTTTTTTTTATTAATAGCAGAAAATGTATGTATGAGGCTTAAGTCTAATTTTGAATTGAGATACAATAATCTTAGAAATCAAAGAAAATTATCGTTTCTATTTTATAGGGGATTAATGAGTAGGCTACACATAATAATAAAAGTTTTTATCTGTACTATTTAAGAACTATAAATCGGTATACGGTGATATGAGCAACACTGAGACTGGGCAAGACGCGATGGATATATCGCAGTTATCTGTTGTGTAGTTGTGCCATTTTTGCGTGGCAGACGTGGACTTGCTGAAATAATATTAAATTTTATTCTTACACAATAAACATGCAATATATTTCTAATACCAAAAATATATAGAAAACAAATTCCAATATGTAGATTAATAATTTTAGAAACTTACAAAATAATTTTACACATGATAATGTAAATAAATTAAAAAAAAAAGTTACGAACGGAACGCGAACCCAAACCAGCAGCATTCTCTACCGATAGCTAATAATTACGACACATACAGGCTGAAAATATATTTGACATTTTGCGCGGAATATGACGGAGGCAACCCCCGGTTACTGTTTAAATAATAGATTTTATTAAAAGAAAATTAGGTGATCAATTTTCCGTGACCTGCCGAAACCTATTTATTAAAGTAGAATAACTAAACTTGAATCAGACTACAAAATTTCATCGATTCGAAGTTCGTAATTAGATAGTAAGCATAAATTGTTATTTATTTTGAATGCACGACAGCTTAGTATTGTAGGCGTAGTATGATTAAAGTAATTCGTGTAAAATAATTACAATAAAGTAAAGTGGACAACGTTTATTCAAGTTTTTAACTTCTATGCGCGAGAGTGCCTTCGTATTTTGTTATATGCGTAAAGTCGAATCCAAGATATTACGAAAGTATGAGCTTGCACTACGGGGTGTGATTTTACAATCGAATCAAATTACGCAGAACGTAATTAAATATGAGAGCAAAATTATTTTGCAATTAACTTTAAATATGTCCAGATTTTATCACTGCAAAATGTAACAATATTATTTACAATTGATGGGAGGAGTGCTTTACGTCAAGCTTAATTATTTCGTAACTTCACTGCTTATATATGTGTCACATAAATTGATAAACACAAAGTTAATAAGACAAACAATGTTTTTTTTTATATTTTATTGTTTTTTTTGCTAATTTAATAACTGTTGTAAAGGTGTCTGTAGTTTACGCGGGTAGTACACATTTAAATAAAACACTGTAACGTTTTAAAACGCGGTATATTTTAATGTTATAATTATTTGAAAATTATTTTAACTAAGCCCCGACGTTTCGCCAAATACCAACTTCGACGGAACAGATGGCGCTATCGTAGCATTTATTTACTTTGACGTCAGAGACACCCTCCATCTTTAGTCTCCCCGTGACAACGGCTGCTGCAAAGCCTCAAGCATCTTTTTCAAATAAGTTTTACTACTATATATCGCGTTTAATGTGTTTTATTTAAATCACGGCTCTGGGGTTCGAATCCCAAGTCGGACGAAATTCCAGTTCGGCATTTTAAAATTTTTCTAAGAAAATGTCTATTACGAAATTTAATAAGTTGGTTCCTATTATCATCACACACATTAAGCAGGGGTACTTATTAAAACCTACCAACACGCAGTGGGGCAGCGTGATGGATTTAAGTTCTGAGTCCCCCTGTGGTTGAAACGAATTTTTAGAATTAGATTTTTTTTTGAGATTTTACCGACTAACACTGTATGTAGTGTATTCAGATAAAGAAGTGATTTTTACCTGAATATTTGCTTCAATATCATAAAATATATTTCTTTGGGCTCAGAAATCATGTTTGCTTCGCAGATAGCACGACGAACACAGTGAAAGCCGTTCAAACCGTTACTGTAACAATAAGAAATGATAAAATAAATGATTAAAATTGTATTAAACTATGTAGTTCAAAGTGTATTATTTAAATGTGTAACACCTCGTATTACACATTTAAATAATACACTTTAACGGTTTAAAACGTGACACATATTAGTCAAACTAATTACAAAATTATTTGAACTACGGCCCTACGTTTCTCTCCGTGACCACGGCTGTTGCAAAGCATCCGAGGGCCTGGCTGTAGTTAAGTAATTTTACATAAGTTTAACTTATATATTTCGCGTTTTAAATCTTTAAAGTATTTTATTTAAATGACACTGCTTTATTGTATTGTCACGAGTTCGACACCCATGGTGAAATTCGACCTGCTGTATTTTAATCATTCTCGGCCATTTTAACAATTTCAAACTTAACACCAAGAAGAGATAGACATGATGTGTTCTATCATTAGTTATAATCTTTTATTATGGATGGTTTTGAAATAGTCAACTTGGAACTACGGATTTTATTCTATAAAGGGAAATATAGTGGGAAAATATGATTATTTTTCGTTACCGCACTTGGCTAGCGTGATATAGGTAAACATACTTAAAGTTTCACAAGGAACCTCTACTTCACTTCTAAGAACCTTTCAGGAGCTTATAATAATATAAAAGATAGATAACTAAGATTTTGTTAACGTCGATGAAACTTATAGGAAACATTATAGTATTTAAACAAGAAAAGTAGTCGTGGCGCAAAGGAGACATATTTAAAGGAGATATATCCGTTTTTTTATACCTGCAAGTAGCTGATGAGCTAAACTGAGATATCAACGTAATAGATTCTTTCAAACTTTTACAAATAAGCCGCTCGGATTTTAAATAATTACAAACGACACTACAACCCGCAAGAGGCAATGTTCTATGCAGATACTTATTTGTTTAATAAGTGTTTATAAGAAAATATCAATTTACCTATCTAATAATACTTCCATGTTATTGTAGAAGCTTCTTCTAGTAAAGTGGTGATAGGGGTGGAAAGAATCCGGGGGATCGTCCCAGTTCATACGGAAACCAAGTGCTTGAGCAAATATCTGATTCCACGGGACCATATTCGCTTTGAAATTAAGGCGCAACTAAAAAAATATCATTAATTAATCATAATTAGTAAAAGCCTTAAATGTTTTATTACGAAGAATACAAACAGGCATGAAGACATCGACATTTATTAACCAGTTTATATGAAGAAAATCTTTGTTCGAAATTTAATATCCAGATTTCCAGACGAAATTTAATATGTTTCCTAAAAATTATAAGTCGATTATAAAAATGTTGGACCTGGTGGGAATGGGAGCTCGTCAAAATCTCAATTAAATTGCACTTAATCAATATGTAAATAAATACACTGCCGACACATATTTGCTTTTGCGCATCCAAATATCTAGATACTGAAGCGAACACATAAGAAACACTTCGAAGTTATTTAAGGCACATATTCGAAACCTCAATAATAAGAAAATAATCCACTAAGTCCGATACGAAGGAAAAGTATGAGAAAGGAGAACTCATACAGGGTACAACTTACGAAGAATCGAGACACATTTCTGAAGCTTAGGTATCTCTTAGTGCGTATCGTCGAATCACTTTTGCCTTGCTCGATAAAAATAAATAACACGACGCAAAAATAACAAATCAATATAACTCTGATTCTACTGTACATGATAAAAATATTCTATCCTTCACATGTCGCAAGGTACAAGAAAATAATGGAACTGAAAACAAAAAGCTTAACGTCTGTGATTCGGTTACAGTTTTGCCGTTAACTCCATTGTAATGTTAATAGCACGAGTACATCTTTACTTAAACAGTCACATTGTCGTTCAAGTTCTTAAAAAGTATACTTACACAAACATTTTTTATTTACAGCCGTGGCACAGTTTCTCCGTCATGTGACTACGGAGGAAGTTTGCTTTTGGTCAAGTTTACAGTCTGAAAATACGGGTTGGATTCTAATAGTACCGGCAGAAGTACTATACTAATATTATAAAGCTGAGAAGTTTGTTTGTTTGAACGCACTAATCTCAGGAACTACTGGTTCGAATTGAAAAGTAATTTTTGTGTTAGTTAGAGAATTTATCTAGTAAGGTTTACACGCTGCGAGTGTATGCCTATCTTTTAGAATATATTGAAAGAAGGACGGAACGCGAACGATGTCCAGGGTATAATCTATAAAGATGAGGAGAAGGTTTGTAAAAACAAATTTTGATGTCTAAAATAACTATTCTACGCAGACGAAGTCGTATAGAATAGTTATTTTTCTATTATCCTGAAGTCTAGACTTTCAAAAAAAATACTTTTAACGTTTAAATAAAACATTTTAACCGTTTCAAAACGCGATATATTAGTTTTAAACGTTTATTTGGAAATGATTTTTACACTCCGTAAACTATAGACAGTATATACTTTTAACGGTTTGAAAAGCAAAAAACAAAGCTGAAAACTCGGACGTTTCGGATGCTTAAAAAATCATTTGCTTAAATAAGTTTAAATAATTATATCGCGTTTTACAAGGTCAGCCAAAAAATGACTTGTAAATCCTTATAGGGGGTTCGTGGTGTCATGATAACAAAAGATGTTCGCTGCATCAATTATTGTATAATGTTAACTATAATTAAAAATGTGGAAGGTTGTTAGTGCACCGTGATGTCTTCATTAGATGCTAGTGCTTTTGCATGTTCTGCACTCTCTCATTATGCCGTGTATTTAATTGCACACGTAGGTATGCACATTGTTTAGTCTGACCTTTTCGAATTACGTCGAAAAAATCTGCCAGCGTATAAGCAATCATAAAAAAGAAGTGAGACAAGTATGGTTTGTAATTTATGAGAGAAGTACACATAAAAAAACATTTAACGGCTTAAAACACAAAATATAAAGAGTAACTTATTGCCCCCTTAGGCTTAAACTTGTCCCCCGTGATCACGACCATTGCAAAGCATCCAAAACGTCGGCCTGTAGTAAAAAAATGTAAATAAGTAATGTATACCGCGATTCAAAGCCGTTTTAAAACGCGGTGTTTAATTGAAAATAAAAGCAAGGGAACAAGGTTATATGTAGTACCATTTAATTGACATATAAATAATTATTTAGATATCTGTGTGTTTGTTTTGAATTCATGCCAAAAGTTGTTACTTTTCAAATATTAAAAAGTGGGGGTGCTAGTAATAAAAATTTTGTTAATGAATTTTTTTTATTTTTTTAAGTTAAGAGATCTGTATATGGCGAAACGTCTAATACAGAAAAAGGACAGGTTGCCACAGATACATCACAGCCTCCCAAATTATGATTATGCCATTTTTCCGTATTGTCCGATTGATTTCTGAAACAAACAATGAGATATGCCTTAGTTGTTTTTGTGATTAGTGCACTCGACTCAGATTTCAGAGACCTAGCTTCGACTCCTGGGTGTTTCTATTTGTACATCTACTTAAATTTCGTTATACCTACCGACGCGCACTGGAGAAGCGATCCGAAACCTTCAATTGTGATACAAAAGAATATCAATAGGGAACATTAAGTAGTTAAATCACAAAAAATCATTTTTATAAAAAACATCGTTTATTGTATTATAATTGTATTAATTCATATTAATTTTTTTTTTTTATATCTATATATTCTCTATCGAATGGGAAGAAACAGTTTGCCCATTACAATAATATATAATTTTGGTAACAACGTCACAGATACAATAAACAAGATGGCCGCCGTAAAGATTGGAAGTCGCTTTTGACATAAATTAAAATGATGACCTAAGCCAACTAAGAAGAAGAAGAAGAGATTCTTACCTAAATACCATCTTTAGTACTTTGTGGTACATCTCGTTTGGCTCCGAAATCATATTCGTTTCACAAATAGCTCGACGAACACAATGGAAGCCGTTTAAACCATTTCTGAAATTAATATTATTTATTAATTGTAACGTTCGCAAGCACTAAAAGAACTAGCTGTGTCAGTTCGTCCGCAAGCATTGTTATTTTGGGCATCCAAATTTTTGGTATCTTGAACTGTTTTCACAGCGTATGCTTCGGAAACCCATAATAATGAATAATTTTCTTATTTTTTTCACATTTCTCGCTGTATTTTCGCTTGAATTAGACACAGGAGTGTTTTTATAGCCTTCCTTGATAAATACTTTAACTAACGCAAAAATATTTTTTCAATTCGAACCCGTAGTTCCTGAGATTACTGCGTTCAAACATACAAAAAAAAAAACTTTTCAGCTTCATACATTAGTATAGATAAGTTGGTATTCTATAGATATAAGTAATCTATAAAACTATATGAAATAAAATAAATTTTCACATCATATCAATCTAGTAAGTAGTAAGTAAGTAGTAGTAAAAATATCTAGTAATGTAGAATAACAGTATCTTAATTGTACTTACCTATCTAGCAATAACTCGAGGTTTTTATACACACTTCTCCTCGTGAAATGATGGTAAGGATGAAATGAATTGGGCGGATCATCCCAGGTCATCTTAAAACCTATCACCTGGACAAAGATTTGATTCCAGGGAATCATATTGGTTTTGAAGTTTAGGCGAAACTGGAAAAGCGAATACATTTCTTATTCAATTTTTCTGTAATAATTTTCCTGACAAGTTAGGATTTATACAAATTACTTTTATTTGAAAAGGTGGGTTTTTTACTTTAATATCTGCAGAAATTAATAACATACATAGCTAATCGTCCTTTTAACTATCCTTGTTAAAATCGAATAGATTTTTTGTCTAGTAAGGGTGTAGAAGAAGATTAAAGAAACGTATTTTTGTTTTAACCATTATATTTCGTATATTTAAAATTACTTACATAAAACCGAGTTATGTTACTGAAGGCCAAATATCTTTTCGTTCGTATACTTGTGTCTCCCTCTCCGTAATCTATCAATATATGCATAAGTAAGCACAGATAACAAATGAAAATCACTTGAAAGGTTTTGTACATAGTTTTAACTGTACGGATACTTTAGTTAAGTTAAACCATTTCTATATTTGTATTTGCCGTTAAAAATAATTGCTAGGGTGCTCTGATTATATCAACTATGCAATAAGTCTATAAATATTTAACTGAATTTTGCAATAGTAATGTTTGTTTGTCGTAAGAATTCTTTCGTGGAATACAATATATCTAAGTACAGCGTTACGCGTACGGCTTAGAAATCTACCACAAAATATAACGTTAAGTATTAAAATATCAAAACAGATAACGGTGCTGGTAAAAGTAGGTAGTATTTAATATGAAATTATCGATATTCATTTCTTCAACGGTTTAAACTGTATCAGGTCACAATACACAGGGTGTTCTCGTTTGTGTTTCTAGGTTTAAAGCCATAAGTGTAGTGTGTAGTCTAAGCAAGCGACACACTGAAATAAAAGACTTATATCGGTATAAAACACGCCTTTATTTAAATTTGAAAGTCCCAACGTTTCGGATGCTTTCCAGCAGACGTGGTCATGGAGGGACACATACCTATTTTCAAATTTCTTTTAATAAGTGAAGTTAAATATAAAAAAAAACATAAATTCTAATCTTAGAATATACATAACAAAAAAAAACATTTTACACTGTATATTGTTATATGTCAAACAGGCGTTTTTTTGTGCTTTTTGACTGATACATTTTCGAGCTTTTATGATCAACTTTTCACGCCGTTGTTTGTGAGTTCATGTTCCACCTGTGTATTTTTTTTAATTCTATATAAATTTTATTAACAATTTGTTTCGCTAACGCAAAGATAATCGACGCGTTTCACTAGCTATTAATACACAGAGTCATGAATATTTCCAACATCATGTAGAAGGTAACGGACCAAAAAAGACTGGTGTTTGTGCATCGTGATAATCTCTTCGAAATTTATTAACACGTTTTAGGTTATACCCTGGTACGATAGCTAGTGTCAGCCGAAATGTCTCAAAAAAAGTTTGGTTATTATAATTTGCATGCTCTTAGTGTAAAATGAGATTCTCACCGACAATTATGATGTTTGTGTGTCTGTTTATAACGTGCTATGCACTTGAAGACAATTCAACGCAGGCCGATACTAAAGTACTGTCGCGGAAAAAGCGATTTCTCATATTTCCGGAGGGAACTTCGTTTCAACTTGGTAAGAGTTTTGACAAAAGTTTTATAAGGGATTTTAAACATTGTTTCTTTATGAAAATTAATAATATCTATATATTGGGGCTATTAACAAGATTCCGACTTTAGAATTGGCTTAAACGTAAACCTCTCGACTAAGAGCCGTGATGAGGCCAAAGGTCTAGACAATCAGTATGTCTCAAAACTATAATAAACGGTAAAGAAATTAGTATTTTGCCTAAGATACATTATTTGATTTCAGACGTTTCCTTTGTATTTTAGTCTGGTCAACTGCCTGCTTTAAAATATAATTGAACAGTGAACCGGACACAGAAATATGTTCGTCCGAGAGAAGGAAACAGTATTTCACTACTTTATGTGATTTCAATGATTAGATGACGGTTATTTTTGAATGTGAAATGAAGCTACCTATGTTATGAGTGTCTTATGAGGTGGCTTCGATTAAGATTTGAATTTTATTGATATCATACTTTTAATCCAAAGTTCATCAAAACATCCCTCTATAAATTCTCGGCGTTCACCAAAATTCCACCTTTGGACATTTTGAATTGTTCGAGTTTACGTAAACTTAACAACTAGCGGAAAGGTCTATAAAGCCCGTCTAGAACTAACTCTTAATGCGATCCCTTTATTTAATAACCCTTTATAGAGTACGTAAAATACAGATAAAACGGACCTACAGCTCCATATAAACAATTGAGCGACCGCGAGCTATTTTACCGACGCGTTGAAAGGGCCCCGGAGGCCCATTCCGTGCCCCAATGAACATATACTAACCTAATGTAAAAACTACCAGACAAAAAGAGTGCCAATATTCCGCCAATTTTCTGTTAGGGAAAGACGAATGATTATCGTTTTCGCTTCATTCGCAAAGTCGACGTCATTGAAGTTTTACCTAGAATATTGGTGTTACCTTAACAAATACCAATGTCAAAAAAGTAAAAAATAATTGATTCATGTAGGTAGCTAAGTAAGCTTATGAACGTCACAAAACGAAAGAATCTAATATTACATTTACTAACAGTTCTCAAATCAAGGGCGAAGAACAAACGAGAAGAACGAATAGCAATAAACACGCCGTCACTCCTTTGGCCAGTTTCATTTTACGAAATATTATTTATTGTAAAACAAGAAACAAAATGCAATAAATTAAAATAGACGAACTTAAGGACAAACGGCGGCTCTATAGCTCAATATCTATCTTCTCCAACCAACCGCACTGAAAAAAGAAAACTCAATAAAAGAATTACGCGTGACAGCAGAAAAAGTTACTTAGTACCTTTGTAAGTACTTAATGTTGAATACTGATATTTGACGAATCTAAATAATTTTTATAATTTGACAGAGAATAAAGTATGTTTTATTTTATTTTTTAATTTTTAATGATGATTTCCACGTGTAAATAAACATATTAAAGTAATATATGTTAAATAAATTTTGCAAAACACAGTTTAATGTCACATTTAAAACTATATTGATATGTTTGTATTTAAACTCTGTACTGTGTATGTAGTTCATTGAAAATAAAACACTTTCAACTTTCGCAAAAAAAATATTCTAGTTAACTATTGTTTAGTTATTTTAAATATGGCTCGAAGATTCGGATGCTTTGCAGCAGCCGTGGTCTAGTGTTGGTCAAGGACTTCAGTTTCTCCGGGGACCGATTAGTTCCAGTCGAACGAGAAACTAAATATCCTCTTAAAAAAATGCTTGTAAAAATCGACGAGTAAAACAACGGAAATAAAAGTTTACAAGTGTAACTATTCCCGGAAATATGAATTATTGAAAACTAATTGCTTCTCATCTCATCTGCTTTAAACCTCAAAAAAAAAAACAAATTTTTCAACAGTTTTGAGCCGACAGTTTCCTATTTATTCACTTTAGCTACAGTTCAGAAGGGTTACCAAGTATTCGCAAGTAAGGTATAATGTTTGTGCACTCAGTCAGTTCCTGTCATGCGTAGGTTGTCAATATTAGAAGCGTCGGCTTACTGTTCTAACGTAAATGACGAACAATTTCATTTAAAAAGTCCATTCAAGAACAGTTCAATTTAAAAAATACATTAAGATCTAATGTTTTCTTTAAATAAAATGCTTTTAACGGTGTTAAACGCGAAATGTTCTAGTAGCTATATCCAATTTATTGTTCAACGGCTCGAAGTTTTGAATGCTTTGAAGCAGCCGTGGTCACGGGGGGGGCTAAAGATAGATATCCCTAATGTCGTCTGAAATTAGGGTAAGTTATCTAATACGTTTCGCGTTTGAAACCGTTTAAAGTGTTGTATTTAAATGTGTATTATTCGCGTAAAATATAGATTTTACTTAATGTTTCCTTTTCCAGTATTCTGTGTCACGTATCCAGCTCTGGTTACGATAGGAGACATATTCCTTTGGGGAAATACTGCCGCTCTAGCGTTCGAGTTGCCGCAAGATCCATACTCTCCCTTCAATCACAAGGCTGACCCTCTTCACAGGAGAATGGACACAAAACATATTTATTACACGGATGAGGATGGAAAGATTATTTATAAACACGAATATAAACGGTATGACTTTTGTTTTGTTTTGATAGTGTTTTCGTAGTTCAATACGATGTAAATGACATCAAAGCTTTTAAAATTCAGTATCTTAAAATTATATATGTTTATGCGAGTAGTACACTTTAAAAAAAAACTTTTTAAGGTTTAAAAACGCAATTTTTTTTGTTTTTTTTTTTTAAATTTTTTTTTCCCCCCCCCCCCGCCCCGGCTGGGTTTTTTTTTTTTGGGGGGGGGGGGTTTTTTTAATGATATTGTTATTTGTGGTGTTTTTTTAAAGGATAGGCTTTATTTGGATGAAGTTTGATTCCCAGAAAGTTCCCAGAAGTTTCTTAGTGAGTTACCTAAACTTAAAAGATGGACAAATACTGAAGCGGTAATTTTTCAAGCTTATTAAAAGGAAAATATTTATTTTACACAATTTGGGTATCTTCAACCGTTATGCAAGCGCATATAATGTTGTCCTCAAAATTGAATATTTTTTTCGTGTTTTTTTTTTAACATTTGCCTCCGTCTTTCGATTCTATTAGCTGCAGCCCGATGTTTCATAGTCTTCTACAACCTAACCTACAAAATTCAATTCGATCCAATAGTTCCTGCGATTAGCTTGTTCAAACGATAAACTCTTCACCTTTATTATATTGGTATAAATTAATAGAATGTCTGTTTAAAAGACATACCGATTCCTATGAATATAAGTTACTAAGTAGACTCAGAAAAAGGAATCACATTTTCTCGTAGGAAAGTTGAATGGACCAGTCCCTAAGGAAAACAGCACACAAAGGAAACGATCAGGAGACAAACACCTCGATTGCACATGCAAATTCTCCCGAATCGGGATTCAGATCCATGTACTATTTTCGTGTTGATTTGGTAAACAACAGAGACTAGAGTCATTTATGTGTTTACGAAGCGGAAAGTACGTTTAATTCCATTCATTTTACATTATAAGTAACGTATGTATTAATACACCAACTGACATACAAATACATTACTCAAAATATTTCCTTCATTGAGTCCGTTTTTGGTGGTCTTGGCGTTAAGATGTTTTTGATCATGACAGCTGCAAAGCATTTGCATCGTCGAGTCGTAGTTAAAATAAATAAAAGATAACGTATATGTTTTGTCCTTTTAAATGTTAAAGATGTTTTATTTATATATACATACATGATTGAGTGGTGTTTGAGTTTGAAGTCTGTAGTTTTGACCGTGTGTTTAGAAACAAAATATTAGTACATACACTAATGAACAGAATATCTCGTCATATTAATATAATAAAACGTGAAATTAAGTTGAAATATAATACTCAAAATATTGTAATAAGAATGTAGAATAGTAATTTGTTCCATTACAGCCACGTCCCTGCACATCAGCTTTGCTTTGACATATTTTTTGGTAGAATACACAACATCGCCCAAGACTTGGGTCTACTATTTTTACAACTTCCGCGACGGATTTTCCGCTTGACGAATTTTCCTTGATGCGATACAGAGATTTGAATGTTCACGCCGAATCATTGGGTTGTAAAGGATAAAATCATTCGAGCGAAGTTGAAAACTCGTAGTGGACTTTGCGTCTTTGAGCTCCACAACCTTCGAGTATTACAAATTCCATCTGTATATAGGAAAGATTCTACTCAATAAAGAACCAATGGACCACTTGCAATGCCTTTCGGATTAAATGATTTATGTTACAGGAAGCCATTAGTGAACCCGGCCTTCGCAAAACGTAGTATAAATCAAGTAGACAGACAGCGAATGCACTTATCTAGGCAGAGGCCCACTTTTGAAGATTCTAATACGATAGACTACCATAGATCTAGTCGCATGGAACTCTATGAGAAAATTGAACTGATGTTGCAAGGGTAAGTAATTAGAATCAAAAGATAAATGAACATTAAGTAAACAAAAGTTACTTAACTGTTGTTAATTATAGCGTTGTATGGCTAACAACGGGTCTTGAGTTCGATCAACCCCAACATTTTACTAATCAATTTATATTTTTCCTTTTTGTTGGACTTTGTCTGGAAATTTTCATGCCATTTAGTTAATATGCAGATTTCCTAGACGAAGTCCAACGTTTTGATTAGAAAACCGTTGACGTGGTGGGGATCAAACGTATTATCATGATATTACACCATCGAACCGTATAATTAATAATTAAATGTTAAGGTGATATTTTATTTCGATATAAAATAGAATCAAGCCCCAAGTGCAATACAATATACTTTTTACAAGCATAAACACATTCGAGTATAATTAAATGGTCGTTAAGTACCAAGGAATTCGCAATTTATTGTTTTGTTCGGGGTAAAACAATATCTTTTGTTTTAGGTTGGGCAGTAATGGTCGGGAGTGCCTTCTAAAAACACTATGTATGTACCGCGCAACCCACCATTATCCGCAAGGAGGATTCATGCAGGAGATATTACGATCAGTTTTTACGTGAGTTTCATTTATTCTCTCTTTTTATGACAAAGGACATAGATAAGCACTTGATGGTAGGTAAAAACGAAATTGGAATATGGATTCTGACAGATGGATATAGTAATTTAGAATTATTTTGGAATCGAACCCACGCACCCATTGGTTCGATGGTGGAACTATATAACGCAACTAATTGCAATTATTGTAAAAACTTCGGTTTAAATTTGTCCTTTCTGATTTCACTAGATTACACTCAGCTTATGCTAAAGATTTTATCGTAACACCTTCGTTCTTTGTATTAGAAATAGTTAATACCATTTCCCAGTGTGACTTATGGGGCCATATTTTTGAGTTAATTTTACTGACCGATTTTATGAACTATGATCAGACTTCTGTCCGAAACAAATTATTGTTTCTCTGTGATTCGAACCTAGGGCCTCTCGCGCTTCAACGCAATGCTAGACCATTTGTAACACTATAAAGTAAGGTATTTGGTATTTTATGTTTCCCAGGCTACCAAAAAGTCCAACCGAAGGTGACTACTACCAAGAATATGAAGACGATCTATTTTCTTCCGGAAATTGTGAGGAGATGTATCCCGATTGTACTACTAGGCCAGTGTAGATTTCTGGACTTTCGTTTATCCTGAAAAAATTCAAGAAGACTTCTAAAATATTAAGAAAGTGGGTGTTTATTGTTTTGAATGTTGTAAGTAGAAAATAAAAGATAAGCAATGAACCTTATTTAATTGTTGTTTTATTCAGTTATTTAAGTCATCCAATACACATTAAATGACTCAAATAAATACATTGAGTGTTATCTACATTTTTCTTCAAATGTACAGTAAACTATAATAATTTCATGAGATAATACAACAATCTCAATAAAAAAATATAAGTCTATCTAGTTTCATTTAAACGCTATGATATTAATAACTTAAAAGCACGTCTTTCGCTAATTTGCAATTTCTTTAATGTATAAAAAGTGGTCTAATAGCGTTCATAGCTCATTGCGCTTGATAATTGTGTCTTAATTTTAATGACTCGGGCCATAATAGTCGGGAATGGAAGACGTTTAATGGAAGTAATTATTAAGAAAATGCTGCAAAATGTCACAACTACATTATTACATTAGTGGTCGAGTGACGTACGCGCATTACCACTTTTTGTTTTTGGAAAATCAATAATAATTCTGACACGATCGTAACTGTTGTTACGTTGACACAAAACTTGTTAATTGCTCTTTCTTTATACAATTCCACGTTTCATGACAGTTTATTTTGTGTTTTCTGACTGGAAACTACGATTTTCATTTCTGGTTTTGTTCTAATGATATATTAACTTAACTAAGGAACATAGATTGGAAATATGAATATCAAAGTTTGTTTTCTGATATTGTTCTTAAAGGTCGCCGCTTGTAAAGCGAAATGCGGTGACGTAGGCTGTGATTCCTCAATGGAGAACACGACACGGCTTCTGTCTAGAAGCAAGCGGTTTTTAGTGTTTCCCGACGGAAGCTCTCTTCAATTGGGTACGTACGGTTAACGCTGGTAATCTAGTTGGTACGACGTATGTGAAAGGAACTAGAAAATATTTGAAAAGCACTAACCTCTAGGTTGTGCCTTTGATATGAACGTTGATTAAAATTGCTTTTAAGTAATGAGAGAAAAACGGTCTGGAGTGTTTTTTATTTCAATTTATACTTGTATACGTTATAGTTTAGTTAAAATTATGTTTCAAAGACTTGAATAAGAATTTAAGTGAGGCATTTTTAAAATTCCAGTATTACGTGTATGTATTCCAAAATAGGCCGACAGCGTATCTTGTTGAGATGTTATATGGCTGATGAATTCCATCTTTCTTGCAGCGAAACACATGCTTGGTTATCCTCTTCTACCATAAAACAAATACGTTTTTAAGCGCAAAAAAAAAATAAAAAAAAACTTTTCGATTTTTGTAAAGATTGATTGCTCAACATATGTTCTCGTTACTCAATCCAAGCACGATCCTAAAGATGTTTTCGTTTTATGCAAAACATTTATAAAATTCCAGTGTTCTGCGTGCAAACAGCGGCTGAAATTCCCATCGGAGATATATTTCTATACGGCAACACCGCGGCGCTCGCTTGGAATTTACCAAAGGACCCCGACTTCCTGCTGATGTTTAAGGATTACGAGAAGAAGGCTCAGAGAAGAAATGACGAAAAGAACATTTACTTTTTGGACGAGAGCGGGCGTGTGATAGCCAAAAGGCCGTTTACTAGGTATTGTAAAATATCTAACACTCTTTTAATTATACTCATATTACCGTTTAACAGTAAACAAGGAAAGCTAAAAGGTACATTTTTTATCATATACTGTCTATAGTTGACGCGAGTAGTACACATTTAAATAAAACACTTTAACGGCTTACAACGCGATATATTAGTTAAACTTATTAGAAAATGATTTTAACTTCGGCCCGACGTTTCGGATGCTTTCAGCAGCCGTCTCCCCGTGACCACGGCTTTCAAATAAGTTTAACTAATATATCGCGTTTTAAACCGTTAAAGTGTTTTATTTCAATGGTAAACATTTTACTAAGTAGTGAGCGATGGAACGTGGCGCCTAATATAAGGCCGTCCTACAGTTTATCAGTAAACTGTTAATTAAGTGTTTAATGATACCGTACTTTTACCGTCAGTACTGATTAATATAACGTGAGTTATTTAAATAAAACACTTTAACGGTTTAAAATGCGATATATTAGTTAAACTTATTTGGAAATGATTTTTACTTGCTTTTTAAGAAGCCGTGGTCACGGGGAGACCGTGAGTACTTAATCTCACAAAGCTACGTACATATATTTGTACACCACTGTTTGTCTGTGCCAACGTCATATATTATGCGTCACGCGATCATGCATTCAAGTGTACTCACTTCTAGGGTAACACAGTGTCAATTACAGTCTAGATGCGAGCATTACTAGATTAAATCAATACTCCATTAATCTATATTTAGGCCAGCGATCGTGAATCCAGTATTTGCGAAGCGCAGCGTGAACGAAGAGTCATTCAGAGAGAGATTAAAAGTGAAGATAGATCGGATTAAAATGCATAAGAGACACAGCAGCGACTTCCTGCAACACTCCAGCCAGGGCAGTACATCGTTTCATAGAAACAGCCGCGTCGAGCTCTACCAGAAACTGGAGACATTAATTACTTCGTAAGTGCCTAATGAATCTTCACTTCCTTTGTGAAGAATAATGAAGCTAATTTAAGCGAAATATAGCTTTATTTTCATGCAAGTTTAGCTTTTTATACAATGGAGTGGTAGGATTAGATTATGCAGAGTTGGCAAAGTAGCCCTTATACAAATAATTTTTAACAGAATAAAACGGGAAACATTGTTTACTGCGACCTGACGTCTCATGAAAGGACTTAAGATGGTTGGCCCTGATGTTACGCGTACTCGCTTGATGACTACATTTGAAATCATGCAAAGATAATTAGCATTGTCCCTATCTTATATATATGAAATAAATAAGAAAATTATCTAACTAGTATATAAAAATAATTAATGAATTAATGACAAGAGTCCAACACCTGTATTTGCCGTCATTTTTGCAATGTTCAAAAAATTCTCTATCAGCGTTTTGTATTTTCGCTCTTGTGCTAACTAAAATTAAGGTTGTATTTCTCTATGAAAGTTTGATGTTAACTGGGGAAGTTCGGCTGAATTATTTAAAGATAAGTCGGTATTGAAATTCCGTAACTGTTGCAGGCTGGGCGCGGACGGGGCTCGGTGCGTTCTTCGGAAACTATGCGAGTCAGCTCGTGTCGACTCGCAGGGGACATTCCTCCAAGAACTACTTAGAGTTGTCTTTACGTAAGTTATCTACACGTTACCTATGAATATGCTTTAAAGCAGCATAGTACCCTATTAAATACTGTCTATAGTTTACGCGAGTAGTATTTAAATAAAACACTTTAACCGTTTAAAACGCGATATATTAGTTAAACTTATTTGAAAATGATTTTTAACTTCGGCCCGGCGTTTTGGATGCTTTGCAGCAGCCGTGGTCATGGGGAGACAAATATAGCGCGTTTTAAACCGTTAAAGTGTTTTATTTAAATAATACCTCATTGTCAAAATCACCAACATGAACATTATGGTAAACACGAAGGGTTTTCAGCATAACTTCAAAAATTCCATACCAAGTACATATAGTAAATTCTAATATAGATTCTTCTTCCCTCTTTCACGACGTAATAGAGAAAACAAGTAACAAAATAAGAGTAAACACTGTGTGGTTTAAAAATCGAAAGTGAATTGAAAAAAAACATCGACTCGGGCAGGACTTGAACCGGCATCTTCAGCGTTCCGTGCTGTTGCTCTAACCAATTGAGCTACCAAGTACCGAGCCAATTGGTTAGAGCAAATTATTATTTTGAATCTCGCCGTTGTAGGGCTTAGGGGTAAATTGCAAATTATTGATTCAGTTTGAAAAATGACATCGCAAATATAGAGATATTATTTTCTAACTAAATTAGTGAAATGTTTTAAGCTATCAAGACGACAATCATCATAAGAACCTTGGTCACAACAGGCTTTAATCTCTGTTTATTTCTCATAAAAACAAGCCTCCCAGGTTATTTAAAGTTACCTGTTTTTAAGCAAAAATATTATGCTAGACGCAAATTGATTTGAAATTCATTTTGGCTTTCAAGCCTCGCTACATAATATTGACCTTATTTGCAAGGGACTGGCACGCCACGAGCGAATAAAGATCTTGAAATAAATAAATTAAGCAGTTACTAGTACATTAGTAAACTATTGTATATTTACTTGTATTTTCCCATAATTATATGAAATACCATTTTGGATATAAGAACTAAAAGGATTCGAACACTGTACTCTAAAGATAGAATACGTCTCAGTAGGCTGAGATGCCTAGAAATCTTTTTCACTAAAGAAAGTTAAAAAAGAGAAATGAATAATAAAATTGAGAATTCCTCACATCGATGAATTTCGTGCTATTATGTGTATTACATTACATAAATTATAAATATATAAGTCCCTTAAATAAATTCTAAAAATTTTGAAGGCTATTTCGCCAAGGCTGGTTTAGATAAGCTCTGTATAATTCTCCATAAATAAGCAGTCATTAAATATGAAAGAAGATTATTTTCTTTTTTCAGATTCCCGAAGGATACCTCATCATTTGTCGAGGAGCACAAATTGTATGATGAAGCACATAATCCATCGAACGACTGCGAAAAAATGTACCCCGGATGTGAAAATATCGACTCTACCTTTTTATGATAATAGACTCACAAAATATTACAGGGATTAGATCGCATATTATATAGTAAGTCTGTAGACGGTTAGTTTTCATTAAAGACAATTTTTAAAAGTTTTATAACATAAAGAAATTATCAATAAAAGCAAAATGTATTTTGTGCTCATATATCCTAGGAAATTGCTGATGTTTAAGGGGAGAAACCCAATTTCGTCATATACTTATAAGTGCAACTATAGAAAAAATCAAACTAATCGACATTGTAAGCTTTCAAAAATATTTCTTAGTTTTTAAAATAATATCTTAAACCAGTATATATATTAGATTTGATAATGTTAAAATATACATACATGTTTTTAAGGAATTATTAATTACGAAGAAAACGAAGTAGACAATGCATGTATTTGCAGAATATTCCATGAAACGTATTTGGAATTTTAAAATTTTTAATTGAATCCTAGAGATATGTTAAACATAGATATATTTATATATAATACATTAATTGTTTATACCTTTAACTATTTTGATTTACCAAAAAAAACATTTTTCTTTTAGAAATTGTTTAACGTGAAATTGTAAAATTAAACATTGAGGTGCTTATTCAGTATTAAAACAGTTTAAATAAAAGTTTTCGTGCAATGGAAGCTCAAATTTCAATTAAAATTTAAAAGAATAATACAAAAGGCATTTAGAAGTCTCGTATTTTCACAATACTCAATAAAAATGTGCTAAGTTCCCCTCGGTGAGTCGAGGGCTATAATGATTAAATAAGTGGTACAAAACGGGTCTCGCATTTGTAGTATTAAAATTCATCGAGGACAAATTCCGATGTTTCAGCTTTTCTTTGCGACTGTACATAACCCTAATTGCACGTAAACCAGTTTGTTCTTATTTGTGAATGTCTAAATTTAATATACATTGTCATGTGAAAGAATGTAGCGTATGCCAGTTGTTTTCTGGTTAGTACGGCTAGTGAGTGCTTGATTTTTGGACCGAATATTTAAACTGTAAAGTTTTTCTCTTCTTAATTACTAAAAAAAATGATATCGAATATGGTGAAACTTGTTTTTAAGACGTATCTAGTTCTGACATATTGTTCTCTAGCAATTAGTTCAGAAGAAGATTCAAATCTTATAGAACGGAAGAGAGTATCTGGTGAAATTCTATCAAGACAGAAAAGGTATTTAATGTTTCCTGAAGGCAGTTCTTTTCAAATGGGTAAGTGAATTAAGTTTTCCGGGAAAAGATTAGAATTGTATCAAAATAAGAGAGGTAAGGTAAGGTGACTACAAAGATTTGAGTTAAAAGACTGTATGTATAACTCTTTATATTATGCTATTTTATAAATTATTACATTTTTTTGCAGTAATTTGTGAACAAAATCATGGCTATTTACAGTTAGGTAACATAGTCTGGTTTGCGAACACAGCGGCTCTTGCTTGGGAATTACCATCAGATCCTAAGTACTTCCATATATTTAAGGAACACGAAAAAGACTTTATTCAGAATAGGAATGGAGTGTCTAAGAGTATATATTTGTTGGATGAAGCTGGAAAAGTATTATCTAAAATTCCATATCACAAGTGAGTAAAGAACCAAAATGATTGCTTGAGTTATTTTTTTTATAAAAAAGAGGAGAGACAGTATGGGGTTCTCTTGATGGAAGGCTATATACCTCAGGCTTAAAGAACTAAACTGGATGATCTGTCTACGCTAGCTGTCGCTGTAAATATGCAAACTAAGAAGCACCCATTGCGGTTTTCCCATCTGTGGTTCCTCACATGATCAAAATTTTAATATCCACACCTCTCATTTAATTTCCTTTTTTAGAAAGTTTATTGTAAACCCGGCTTTCGCTAAACGTAGTGTGGCAGAAGATTCCAATGTAGACCGATCATTGATGCACGAAAAACAAAAGAACGCAAGCTATTTACAAGATCTAGATTCAAATAGCGTCGAATTTCATAGGAATGAACGAAAGGATTTGTACCAGAAAATCGAAGGATTTTTAAGGACGTAAGTTAAAAGTAGGCTTTTCCTATCAAATCGACTAAACGACCGTACACTTACTTAATTTTTACTAAACATGAAGTAATAAGATTGGTGGTAAATGTCACGAGATCCTAGGTTCGACACCTGGGTCGGGAGAAATATTACTACGGTGTTTGAAAACATTAATATTTTTCACATTTACACATAAGCATGTGCACATGAAGGCACCATATAATTTAAAAATCAAAAATAAATTGAAAAAAATATTCGATTTTTAAATTATATATATGTCCTGCTCGAGTCGAAAATTTTTTCAATTTATTTTCGATTTTTAAATTACTACGGTGTTTTCAATTCTTCTAAGAAATTTCCTCGTAACATCTTTGAGTTTGTTACCCCTCAAAGAGCACGTTAAGGCGCCGGTCCCGGTTATCACTACTAATTTAGTGGCATTAGATGTTAAAGGTCGCTTAACCCCACTGAGCAGCATGGGCCTCTAAGCTTTTTAAACCCTCTTCAGAGCAAAAGGTATGTCGCATGTCTAGCTGTAGGTCATAAACAGTTATAAGTTTCTTCAAGATATTAAAAAAATCTACATCTCAGAAGTGTTACGAAATCTTTACTTGGTTAGGGTACTAACAGACTATAGTCTGTAATGAGGTTTTATTATAATTACGATAATATACACAGAAGTAATAAAATGCTTATATTATTTCCCTGTATATCAACGCGGGTTTTGATGTTTTATGGTATACGTGTAGATATATTTTTTGGTTTAGCTTTGTGTATGTGTATGTAGTAAATTAAGTTGTCTATATAAAATTAAATCTAGGAATTTTCTCGAAGATATTTCCTATATAAATATTCAATTTATAATTATGTTACAATTCCTTCTACATTAGTGTGCTTGTTTAAATATTCAGTATCTGTCATTAATTTTTCAGTTCTTTACATAAGCTTTTGGTAGTGTGTTTTAGCCTAACTCTACTTTATCCTCAGTTTGAAACCGAATAAAAGGAAAAAGGGATTAAAATGTGAAACTTCTCTACAAACAGCTTTGAAGAAGAAACAAAGATTTTTAATACAAAAAGGAACGAGGACTCGGAGCGTTCCGTGTTATTTCATGAAATTATTTACAGCGTTTTCGCATTTTGTTCCACTTTATTCTTTTCAATGTTGATATTAGGATTATATAAGCGCAACCTTTTACCTACCTTCTATACAATTATTTCATAATTAACTATTATCTAGAAGGTTATCGTCAAGTTAGAAGGTATCAAGAATTTTTGGTAGGAGATGTTTGACTCAGAAAACATGATATAGCTATACCGGTAGTAACCGTTATTTGTTTTAATTTTTTTTAAAAAATTTATTTTAATTTTTAATTTTTATTGTTTTTCGTAGCTTTGTAAAGTTTTGTTTTTGTACTACTGATTTTTTTAAGTTAGCTTTTTTATAGTAGAGAGAACAGATGTTTAGGGTTCACTTGAAGGAAGGTGTGCTGTTGACTTATTTTTCTTGAATATTTAGAAATCCATACTGACACAGAAACGCGATTAAATTGAATGAATTCTTCATTTGTCGACGGTGGTTTGAGTCCAGGACGGAATTTTTATATTCCGGATTTTCATACGAACTCCAACATGTTTAAGAAAGATTATAAATTGTTTAGAAACATCTTGGAGCCGGTGGGGATCGAATCCATGACCCGTTGAGCCGATACACGGCATTCAATTGACCAACGAGCTCGGCAAAGAGCTATGAGCTAAACGCTCTCATCAAAATTCTGTTCAGAACGTGTAAAATATGTCAGTTAATGGTTTTAATCCTCAGTCTAGGCCTCAACGGGCAGGAATGTGTTCTCCGGATGCTGTGTGAGACCGGGCAAGGCAGGCCTCAACAGGGCACGTTCTTCGAAGAAATCATGAGGGCTACCTTTACGTGAGTGTTTTTCATATAGGCGCAACCAATTTAATAGCCAAATATGATCTCTACGTTGTGTGTAATACGGTTCATATTTCAATATTCGCTCAGCGTGGGTAATGCCGATAAAAAATGTACTCAAAACGTTTTACATTCAAGCCGGTTATTGCGACTATTTGGTTAAATTGAAAAATGAAACACGGTATGATAATATTGTATAATGGCGGAATGTTTTGATTGGTCTTGCATGAATTATAGATTTTCACGAAAATTACAAATCTATCTGCTGTCTGTTGCGAGTACACATTTTTCTAAAACACTTTTAACTCATCATTGTTTTCGGGCTGTTCGGTCGACGTGAGCGAGAAGAGGTTCTTGGACGTTTCGCCATCACATGCGGACGGCATCATCAGGAGATATTAACTTCTCGATCGCTCGAAGAACTAATTCTTCGAGCGATCGAGCTCTTCTCACAGCCCGAAAAACAATGATATACTGATTGATGGCCGTGAAAGTCTTACACAATTTATTACACTTTTAACTGTTTAAAACTGGGCTGAGCGAAACTGGGCTGTAGTCAAAATAATTTGTAAATAAGTTTTTAAATAAAACACTTTAACGGTTAAAAAGCGATATATTAGTTAAACTTATTTGAAATATTTTTAACTTTGGCCCGACGTTTCGGATGCTTTGCTTCGCCCGCGTCATAATCATTTTAAATCTAGAATATAATTAATTTACATAAGCTCGCATTAAGCATTATCAAACACAAGACAGTGATTAAATCTATTCTCTTCCAGATTCCCGCAAGGCACGATTTCTACTGATCATCTATATGACAAGGCACATACATCTCAGGACGATTGTGGAATTTTGTATCCAAACTGTGAAATAGCTTTAAGTCATATAAACTAATTCGAAAATTAATATTTTGCTTTTATTTTATAATTTCATTTTTTTCTAATAGTCTAATCTATGTTGTGTATATTCGCTTCAAATCTATTATTTTTTATTTTATAATATACAATTTGAAGACGGCTGATACAGAGGAATAAATATTTAAATTAATTAAAAGTCTTGTGTTTGTAAAATGTCTTTCGATAATATTATAAAAAAATACAAGTGGGCAGATGTGAAACCTGCTATATATGTGACGTATTATGATTTTAGGTTAATAAGATATATACTACATTATGGATAATTCATTTTAATTTTGAAGGTGCTGAAAATGTCGAGTCGCAGACAACATTCAGAAAAATCCAGTTTCCCCCGTGGATTGGACGAACAAGTTTTTTTCTCCTTTTCACTGATAGATTTTTGTCACATACAAGTTGATTAGTACCCATCTATACCCTGTCTGAAATAATGTACTATTTTCCCAGGATTTGAACTAAAGATATCTCTCTCTTGTACGCTAAGGGTTTTACGATTAAGATAATTAGCCTTTCAACTTGTTTAAAATTGTTTTATAAGTAAATTAAACTTAAGTAACCCTATATTACCCTAAAAGCTATAGACCGAAATGAATGACAACTTATTAGCTGTTATTTTAAACCAATGAGTTCGCCGAAGATCAATCAACATCTGAACATCTACTAAACTTTGAAATCCAAACATGCTCTTCAAACCAAAATGAGCTTTATATCTATGACTTAAGGATGAATATCGTGAAAAATCGATAAGGTGTTAACATGACTAACGTAATGAATAGACTAGGCAGTCGCGTTCTAATTCTTTGATCAAACATTCCGGGTCAGTGAACACGGCTTGCGATCCCAAGCGATAATAGTATGGATAATATTTTTCTTCAATTCATACAATTATCACGGGGGCTATAGTCAGCTTTGGCATAATGGTATATCCACTCTTATTTATTAAGACGGGAGTTCGATTCCTTGTTGTTTTTTGTGTATTATCTGCTTTGAGATCTTTGGTAAACTCGTAAACTATAGCGTCATAACAACATACCTGAGAATTAAAAATGCCATGTAATATTGTATACCTAAGGCCTACAAGTAATGTAATAGAATATTACTATGGTCAGTATGTCGTTAGATTATTCTTAATTACTTTATTACAACACAACTATAACGCATTAATTACATCAGATACGACAAAAACAAAAGGACTAAGTTAGAAAAACATAAGTTGTTCTGCTAACTGTTAACCGACCACGGAAGTACTTAACGTGATATCCACAGAATACGAAACTAACCAGAAACAGACTCATGAATGAAGCCGTCACGAATAGTCCAATTTTGGGTCGTTTAATGATTTATTTACATTTTATAGATGTGAATACGAGGACTGAACTAGTATTAATCATTCTATTATGACTGCAAAATCGGTAATTTTAGCCCAACAGAACAATATGCATAAGTTTTTTATAAACATGCGTCTTCCTACTGGTTAATTTAGTATTCTATGGTGTTGAGAAGTTTTGTAAATATTATACTACAATGTGATCATGTTTGTATAGTGATAGGGATAATCCAAGTGCCTACTTGAAAAGTCCGGATTATTATTAATAGAACATTTTTGTTTGTTTTGTTGTATCAGTTTTAATTCTTAAAACATTTCTAGCTATAGAATTAAACATTTTTAAAAGGAGGGGGGAGAGAAAATTTTACTCACGACTTTACTTTCATCAATTTCTTTTGGTGTTAATATCTTTATAATGTAATTGGACTATATCGCATTTATTCTAGTTATGTTAGTAAATTGTATAGAATATTTCAATAAAATCACCCGAAACGTCGCACAGAAGTTAATTTGTAAATAAGTTTAATCATATCGCGTTTTAAACCATTAATTGTGTTTTATTTAAAAGCCTTGGATGCTATCTGTGTTTATTGTAGTTTTATCCATAAAGTCTCGAAGTCAAATTCCGAGTAAAGTCGGGACTAAGGTATACCTATATTAGATGTATATTTAAAATGTTATAACTCAAAGATCTACAACAAACATCAGTAGCTCGTGACAGGCCGATAGTCACGAGTAAGTAAGCTGCACTGTTGATTTTTCTCTTCCACCATAATGCGACTCAATGTACTCGTAGTTTTACTTTTCTGGAGTCCAGTTCTTTGTTACGCGTCAGAAGAGTGTCCAAATGTCAAAACGTCTCTAGGTTTAATAAGAAAGAAGAGATATTTAGTGTTCCCGGATGGCAGTAATGTTGTGGTAAGTATCCTCGTCTTATAACTAGCTTTTACCAGTCTACTTTTTGTTATGAGCTTTTAGTTAATTTGTTTCCATAGTAAATGTTAGAGCAACACTTCCACTAGAGAAATTATGTAAGATGATTGTTTGTTTAAAATGTGGAGAGCTTAGATTTTTTTGGTACATTTTAATAAACTACGTTTGAAACGCAAAATACATTTGGTTAACTTGATTTTAATCTGTTTCACCTTTGTCTCGACGTTGCGTATGCTATGCAGCAGTCCTAGTTTTGGGAGATCGGGCCGTAATAAAAATAATTTAACTAACGTATAGCGTGTTTTAAACAATTAAAGTGCTTTATTTAAATGAAGAAGCCTTAGTTACTTATCATATTTTGCTAAAATTTAAGCTTATGTTGTTTGAGTGTAAAGGTCAAATAAATAAAAGAAACGGGCACCTTGTAAAAACTAATAATAATATTGATTATTTAACAACGTAAAATCCTAACATCCTAAGTTTGATTTCCCAGCAGTTAACTCAATTATTTAGCTTGACTGTGACACGTTAAAATGAGCACGTTGTTGTCAAATCAATCAGTGACATAACGTATTAATGAATCCGTCCCATGCACCATGCCCCACGTAAGGGAAGAAAAGCTTCGTACAGTATTCAATGTACAGGCATCAATATTTGTTATCTTGTAATTCCAGTTGACAATGTCTTTAGTGAAAGCTTTCATGACTCACGCACCCTCCGGATGGAACATTGCTTTGGAGATTGACGTTCTGTTTCCGCTGCCTGATGAAAAGTTCTCCAACGAGCACAGAAGAAAGAAGTACCATCGACAGAAGAGGGAGTTTTGGAAGCAAATCGAGAACGCCTTGAATTAGTAAGGAATGGCCTACAAAAATATAAACCAATTTTCAATTATAAAAAGTGGTCTATGGCACCGTCATTTGTTTGTTTGTCCGCCTCTGTAGCGGAATGATCAAAGGTGCCGAGCATTGCGTTAAGAGGTCTTTGGTTCGAATCCCGGAGAAACAATAGATTATTATTTTGGTCGGTCAGAGCACAGAACTTTTATTAACCTCTTGCCTGTAAATATAAACCGATCAGTGAAACGGACACAGAAATGTTTTCGCCCCATGCCCCATGGAATAAACGAGATTCCCTTTTATGGCTTCGATAACCGTCTGGCACACTTTGCCACAATTTAAGTTTTTAATTGTCGGTGCCAAATTTTTCTCCTACATTTATAATAATTATTTTTTAGATACAACAACTTGAAACAATAGATAGTAGAGTACACATACAACTTAATTAATTTTAATAATTTGTAGTATATTTGTAGATTATATTTAATATACAAATATACTACTTTATATAAATAGTACATTTGTTTATTTTTAGACAGCTGTAGTAGATCACATTTAACCTCGTGTCTTCATTAAAATTATTATATGTATATCGCGATTTCACCCGTTAAAGTGTTTCGTTATTATAGAGAAGGAAACGGGGTTCTCTTGATGGCAGGTAAAACACTCTAACGCTGTTGATCTATTTTGGTTATTCGAAAAATAGTTTTTATTTCCCACTTTCCTTAAAGACACTATGTTTATTTGTATCATATATTCACACTTCGAGATTAAATACTGTCCGTAGTTTACGCGAGTAGTACACATTTAAATAAAACACTTTAACATACCGTGGACTCACATTCTCCCCGTGACCACGGCTGCTGCAAAAAAATAAAGTTATAAACATAACTATAAGTTTCAAATAAGTTTAACTAATATATTTCACGTTTTAAACTGTTAAAGAATTTACGTAAATACTTGAGATTATTTATTTTAATGTCATAGGTACGTTTCCTTGGAATTGTCAACAGTACAATTAACTATGCCAGCTACAGTCCAATAAGATTCTCATTAGGACTGCTCCAAGTTGCAGTAAAGGTTGAAATCGTTTGAATGAATGCTAAATCCAGGCAAAATTGATTGAGCTAAGTGAGAAGAGCCACTCGAAGATGACTCGGAGTGGATGTTTGAATTGAACAAATGCTAAAGGCTTTTACGGAAATATTGATTAGACTGTATTTTTAGGTTGTTACTTTACCTTTCCTTGTATGGTGAATCGGTTACTTGTACGAGTATATTTCTTGGCATAATATTGTTTTGTCAACGTCATATAAATTCTTAGCTAATATTACTTTGAACAAGTCTTAAATTCGATAATTTTTTCTTGACTAAAATAGAATAGATAAAAGATTTACTTTATAAATAAATTAATTATGTAATTATTATGTATCACAAATAAAAAGCTCCAAATCATAAAAAATGTCATTTAAGTTTTTTTTCTGATTCTGCCCATTATTGTTTCCCTCCGTGAGGCATGGGGCGTTTTATTGTTCATCGGACTTTTAAAATTCGAATCCGAGACTTCTTGCGTTTAACGCAATGCTATGCAACACGTTTAACTGCTACAGGCTAACGTAATACGTTTTTAATAGTTTTGCATTGCCGTAATTCCAACAGTAAGAACATTTGAAAGAAAGTTTAAAGAAATTTAAGCAATAATTTCTCTAGCCACAACATGAATGGACGAGCTTGCGTCCTCAGATGCATTTGTGAGAGTAAGAGCCACCTAGCACCCCCCGGGATGTCACTGGTGCATGATCTATTGCGGGCAATTTTCACGTAAGTCTAAATATTTTTCAATTTACCGCATTAGCCTAATTTCAGCTAAATAGATTTTTATGTCCAACCACTAAGTTCCTAGACATATAGTGTTCAAATCTCCTGATCCAAACTATATATACTTATATAAACAGTTGAAGTGTTTATTTGTTTGAACGCGCTAATCTCAAGACTACTAAAACTAGGTTTGAATTGCCCTTACATATTGCCCTTCGACCAAATTTGTTTACCATACAAACTATTTTTTGCGAGCTAATCTTAAAATAATGACACACTGCCGCGGGAATTTTTTTAGATCATATAAGGACGAATAATTATTCCATATATCATTTTTGCTTTCTTCAACTGTCTTCGCAACACACGCCACTGAGGCCCGCACAGAGAAATATTTTTTCCCGTCTTACTCTACATTTTCCAATGATTCTTAGCAGTGTTTAAATCAACAAACTATACAGCCTTATAATATTAGTACCTATAGATTTTTCACAAACAAAATCAAATTAAGTATAGGAATTAACGAATTTGTTATTGACATTTTTCTTGTTATCTTGTCAATGGCTCGGCAGCATTTTTTGTTATTCATTTATTATTTTCTCCTTATTGTTCTTTCAGTGCTCCGCTGCGAGAAGAGTATTCAAATGAGGTCAGTGACATGTACAGTGAAATATTGGATCCGAACTTCTGCGACCACGTACAGGACTGTCCCTTTTCGATATTACATTTTATTTTGACGCTGAATAAAAGGAAATATTAAATTTATTTTTTTACAAAACATTACTCATCACTTCATAGATATGTTTTCTTGCACACTTTATCTGAATTTAAATTGAGCTCGCAATAAATATATAGATTTTTGGCAGATGATAATAGACAACCTTTACTCGATAAGGCCATAGGAGAATAACGGCTTATTTAGATGCCTTTAATTGCGAATTCTCTCTTTAATTATAAGAAAAAATCTCTTACATACAAATGATGACTCAAATATCAAAACTTATATTAAACTACTTAAGACAGTAATTAAGTATAACGTACTTATTTCTATATCGTTTGGGTAATAAAAAGTCAAATGTTTTTCGTAAATAAATCACTTTTAACGGTTTTAAACACGTAGTGTATTACTTAAATTATGTGAAATTTTTTAAAGCCGTAGTACCTCCATGATAAAACAACCGAAGTTAAAATACATTGTAAATAAGTTAACAAATAAATTTGTAAATAAGTTAATTAATAATAACTAATAAAGGTTTTATTTAAATATGTACTACTCGTGAAACTACAATACTTAGTGAAATGTCTTTGAAAGCAAATTAAGAAATGATAATTTACTATGTGGAAATTAATACAGATCACGAGCGAATTTAATTGATGATATAATAATATACGCTGAGTAAGGCGGAAAGTTTGAAAGATTACATGTAACGCGAGCGAAGCATAATATGTAGGCCTTCAGCTACGCTCCTTTCATGAAACACACGGGCTAAAATTCGCTGCGTACACGCTGCGTTTATTTTATCTTCCTTTAAGTCATGTATAGCTTAAAAGACGATGGAATAGTCCAGGATTAGAACATGTTATAAATATACGGTTTCGAAATAACATTTGAAAAACACGTGACCATAGATGTGTTATTAAAAATAATTGCTACTAAGATCTTAAATTAGATATTTTTAGAGTTGTAGTAGCGGATAGACTTAAATACTTTTAGTGATATTACGCGAAAAAACCGCTAAAATCCTTTAGTTACCTACTAAAGATACGGAAATGTAGGCCAAATGAAACGTAATAAAGACAAATATAAACCCTTATATTCTGTATGAGTATTCCCCATATCAAGTTAATTGCCTTATAATCCTTGCACGTGAGGCTTATCTTCACGTGTCTAGATTATTCATAATGGAAATATCGATACTTGAAATACGTGGAGGTTTATAAACACAATATATATAAATCAATATCATTTTTATAGTATTGTAATTAGCTACAGTAGTTAATTAATACACTTTTAACAGTTTAAATAAGTGTAAAATATAGACAACACAAAGATGGAAAAATATATTACCATGTTAGTATTGTCTGTAATTAAATGGGTAATTCTTACGTAAAACTAAGACAGATTTTAATGAAGTGTAGTTTATTTGATTTCGTTGTAGTTAACAAAAAATATAGCTTTAGGTGACATGAGGTGTAAAACAATAATAGAAAAGATATAAGCATAATAATTGACCACATGTCACACCATGTTTAATATCAAAAACAGTTTAATAGCTGTGTAAATCTTATTTAGACTTGAAGTTCACTGTTAGAGCAGAACACAAAGATTGACAGCACCTGACGCTTCTAAAATTAGCTCAGTTGCAAACGAATCTTTAACACAAGTAGAAACATCCCTACTTCTATTTACTTATATATTAATTTCCGTTTCACCTCTGCAGAACTATATTGATCACCAGCTATCTATGACCTATGCTTAACTGACACAATTTGATCGTAACTCGATTTTGAACCCAGGACCTTTCGTGCTTAAAGCGAATTAAGCAACGTATTGAGGTGGTAAATTTTTCAAAAAATATTTATTTTTATTATTATAATTATAGATGCAAAATACCTAACAATTAATTTGATATAACTCTTGTATTATATACGAGATATTATGTTATAGTTATAATTTTTGTTTTCTCTTATACTATTTCATATTTCTAGTCTGGTTTATAATTAAGTCGTTGTGGCGTCCATTTTTGTGTATATAATAAAAATAAAGGCTATTTTATTAAAAGTCACACAAGTTTTTTTTTGAATTGAAAGGAAATCGTAAACATTAGACTTTTACAAAAATAAAAAACATACATTTGTGGCACATATAAAACTGAAATAAAATCCAAGTGAACAATTTCGTTTGTCGGATTGTGTTTATTTTAAAGAGTCGCAGCAGATCTGATGAAGTTGGCACCGATTCTTCTCGAAACTTATTTTTCTTCGGACGCCGACGATTTGTAGTTTTCTCTGAAATACTTATCGCTTTAAACCAAACGACTGTGCTCAGTTTTTTTACCTTACTCTCGCAGTAGCCAATATATGAGAGTTTACTATGAAGAGTTACTTATTTTTACACTCGTATTCCTTCTAAGAGATGAACAAGTTATTAAGTATATTATATTTAGAGCAAACAGTGTTTCTTTTATTTGTCATTTGAGAGATTCTAAAAATTTAATTCAAGTCAAAGCACCCGAAACATTAGGCTGTTACAATAAATTGTAAATAAAATTTATTTCGAATTTTATGTGTTTATTTAAATGTATACTACTCGAAAGTCATAATCTTGTGTCATAAATGTAATAATCTTTTGTCTCCCCGTGACCACCGCCGCTGCAAAGCATCTGAAACGTCGGGCCGAAGTTAAAAATCATTTACAAATAAGTTTAACTAGTATATCGCGTTTTAAACTGTTTAAGTGTTTTATTTAAAACATGAATTGTTGAATAAATCTAATAAAATTTTATTTTGTGAATAAATACACAATAATCAAGTATAAACAACTAATTTCGTTTACCCAACAGAATCCACAAAAGATGGCCACAAAATCCCGAACACTTCAGTAACAAAGTGGATTACAGCGCAAAAAGATGACGCCCATTAAGAGAAAAGTAGTGAGATAGCCTAATATACAAAAACAGTTCCCTCGATGTTGTTCGGTCCTCATAAATCATTCAAGTAAGCTGTTCGCGTATATTTTGTCGCTAAGAATACAGCTAACTAAGCCAACAGTATAATGAACAGAAAAGTCTCTATAGATAGCCTTTAAGGACGAAGTACCGTTGTAGCAAGTAGTTTTAATATATCTGTGTATAGTTATTGTCTAAAACATAAGTTATTTAAACGTTTGTTGTCTTTAGTTATAAAATTAAGTTGCATTATTTATCAGGATATAAAAAAAAGTATACAATTACATTTAATACATATTATGGTATATTTGATATAGATAGTGTTTCGTGCACTTAATGTTCTGACTCTCAGGTCCCAAGTTCGATTCTTGAGGTAATATTACAGCATCGTTCGCCACAGAAAACTGATAAGTGAAACAATAAGATCTGAGTATCACTTGGTTCAACTTTTTACGCCAGTAATAATACATTTATCGGTTTAAAATGCGAAATATATTAGCAAGTAACATTGCAATTATGTTTTTAACTGGTTTTTACTACGGCGGTGATTCGCTTTACACAAATGCGATGATAGCTAAGTTTTATATTTTAATCCGTTAAACAAGTTTTATTTAAATTTACTGTAATATATGCTGTTTTATAACTAGTAGCAGCGAAATCGTTTGCGAATATCCAAAGCCAAAACAGGTCGACAGCACAACTAGTGTATGTTATAAGGCTGGGGCACATTCCAACAAGTGAACCATGCTTAAATACTGTCTATCTAGTTTACGCGTGTAGCACATTTTTAAAAAAATCTTTTTATTTTTTAAACCCCCATTATATGTTTTAACAAGAGTGTTTTACCATCAACGTGTTTTAAACCCATACTTGTCTGTCCTACTCTATCGTTAAAAAAAAACATTTTATAGTACTGTCTTAAATTCATCCTTTCGCAAATCACGAAAGAAAATACACGAAGCACGTGACCCGAATCGGCCTCGTTTTCACAAATAAATGTGAATAATCCTAAACACGCAGTAATTTGTGACGCTTAGCGACGCCGTTCCATTACAGTTTCTTCGTAAAATTTTCACCGTTACAAGACTTGACACACATAGCGGAATCACTTCTCGCACCTATATCGTGAGACGTCTCGGAGTGCTTCACTCAGTCAGAAACGATGAATAAAATATTGTTTTTGTTTTTATTTGGTGTCGTGGAAAGTTTGGGGGATTCGAGGGTTTTATCGCGGCGAAGGCGGTATGTCGCTTTTCCGGAAGGATCAAGTTTTTCAGTGAGTATACATTTACAATGTTTACTTCACAAGTAGTACACATTTAAATAAAACATATTTAACGGTTTGAAACGCAAACTATATTAGATAACGAACTTTTTACTACGGCCTGACGATTTAGATGCTTTGCAGCAGTAGCCAGCCCTACTCGGTGACTACGAAAACATTTCGCGTTCTAAACCGTTAAAAATGTTTTATTTAAAAGTCCCAGACTATAAGATTGATTATTATTTTTCAGAGAAAGAGACCTAATTTCTTAGATAAAAATTTTAAACATATAGAGGCTCTCGCAAAATATTGCTTATTAAAACATCAAAAGAGAATGAATTTTTTCACTTTTTTTTGTAAAATCTTTTTTCTCTTTATGTTTGTATAGTTGATTTTATTGACAGGCATATTGTTCAGATTTCTATAACCCGCCCCAACCAAAACTTGTTTATATATAGCCCAGTCATATTAGTAGTTAATAGATGACAAATTATAATCCTTACTATATAATATTGTAAATGCGAAAGACTACAATAAGTCTCTTCTTAACAAAATATTTGACATTTTCAAATAAGTTTAACTAATATATCGCGTTTTAAACCGTTAAAGTTTTTTATTTAAAATTTTCAATGTTGCATTCATAGTGCGCTGGTTGCATGACAGTTGGGGTCATCGGCCAGCCAGCTCCATCATCTTCTCCTGGGTTGTTCACGTTTGGGCTTAACTGGGGTATTGCTTATGAGCTACCAAATGCTACGGAGACTGCCCTTGCCTATAGGGCCAAAAAGAGACCGATCGCACAGAGGAGAAGTCGCAGGGAGTTGTATGAAAAACTGGAACTTATTATGGATAAGTAAGTCACTAAATACTATCTGTAATATACTGTATAACTAACGCGAATAGTACACTTTAAACGAGAAATATGTAAGTTAACTTATTTTTTTTTTATTTAAACTTCTAAGTCCTCTTGTGACACAGCTGCTGCAAAGCAGTTAAAATGCCGGGTCAAAAAATATATATCACGTTTCAAACTGTTAGATGTATTTTATTTAAAAGTACATATTTACTATTTTGATTTCTTTTGAAAGTTGTCTTCAGCACTTAATTATTAAAAGTTTAATTCTATTTTTACCTACTTCTTGATGGAAAATACTCAATCTGTGCTAAAAGATAAACAAAAGAGATGATGCAAATTGTCAACTTTATTACTTTGTTAGTGTCATAAGGGAGGTAGTATGTTTGTATCACTATTGCCTCACATACCTAACGGATTTTCATAAAGTGTCAAATAATTGTAGTGATGGATTTTCCATTGTATTATTAATTTTATTATTGCTAATGAAAATTCTGTTACTTTCAGCATGGGCTACAACGGTAAACAGTGTATCTTAAAGACACTCTGTGAAACGACCCAACGGATCGTTCCGCACGGCGAAAACATGGTGGAAGAGATATTTAGGACTATGTTTACGTAAGTACTTTATTATATTAATGTGGATCGTGTTAGACTCATGGGCTTTTTGACATTATAACACGTGCTCCTCGATGGAAACATCGTGAGTACCCACACTTTATCAATATGTTCCACTATGACTACTTAATCTTCATCTACTACGATTTCATATATTAACTACTACTTGTACCCGTGACTTTGACCGCATAGAATAGTTATTTTGGGAATTTAAATTTCTTTTGTAAACCTCCTCTTCTTTAAAAAAATATTGCAAATTAATCTTCAAAGATAGACAAACACTGCTATGGACATTTTTCAATGCGAACCACTAGCTGAGATTCGCGCTTTTTTTAAAACAAATATATTTTTTTAACTTTATAATAGGAATAAGACTATAAATAGGAAACTCAATATTAATAATAAAAAAACACTTCGAAAACAAGATAATAAGCTTACAAGAATAAGATATTCTACTTAATTGGTAGCTAAAAGGAATATTTTATTTTCTATTTTATTTTACAATAGCAACGGGGAAATAAAAAAGGATTATTCAAATTGCGTATTTTGATTTTCCGAGGATTTAAAATCACTAATCCGTGGTGGGCACGCCCTAATCTCCGCCATTAATAAGGCTCAACCGACAAGTAGATAAACCTTAATTCTTAAATCGTTCATAAAAATGTAGGAGTGCCATTTAAAAATGTCTTAAATTTAATGCGGGCATAATATTAGTATGTCATTTTTAACTTTGACAGCCGCCAAAGCGCAATGCATAAGTGTCATGTATTGCGTTAGCAACAATTTGCAAGCGGTGCTTGTGGGTTTGAATTTCGAAGATTTACAGTCTATCATTTCCATCGAACGAAATTCAAAAGCTTAGTTAAGAATTAAAAATATATGAAAAATGTTCTATCCCCACATATATTTTAATCATTCTTAAATAATCTCGATATGAAATGATCATAAAAAAATTATAGATAATTCTATAAATATTTATATTACGATAATAGTATTGAAAAATAGAAAGGTTTTTATTAAACTATTGAAAATTCTTTTTCAGGCTTCCCATGGCGAAGGTCTTACCGATAGAGCCTCTAGAACACAGCATCTATGACGCTGCTCATCGTCTAGGAGTGCTTCTCGAATCCTGCGAGAGTTTTAAATGCCCCCTCTCATTAGTGGACTTGGCAAAAGGATACTATAACGCTCCAGCACCAACCTCTGATACCGCTAAGAGTCCTTGGACTTTATTCAGTAGTTCTTTTGGACAAATGTGATTATTCAACAGTTGACAAACCAAATTAAAACAAAACTACCTAACTCCTGTCAATAGTTTGCGCTATCATACCTGAAATGAAACGCATTTCAGGGTTTTAAACGCGACCCAACGTTTCGGATACTTTGCAGTAAGCGTGGTCATGGGGGTTCCATAATCATACACATTTATATAGCTAGTATTATATAACTATGCAATTTAAAGAACCTTGTATTATTTTTATTTGCTTTCATATGATTTAGGAAAGCTTTTCCGATTTTCATGTGTTTATTTGAAACACGAGCCAGAAATGATAATGAATTAATTGTTTTGGATTTTTATTTCGATGATAAACTATTAAGACTTTTCGTGTGGTATAAATAAAACGCCCTTGTTATTATTAACGCATAACATTTAATATTTATAGTTTATATTATAGTACATTTCAATATTAGCGGTAAGAAGTCAAGTGTATTCATAATAGTACGTGGTAGTGCTCGATTTCCAATTAATATTACAAAATGGGACTTAAATTAATTTTAAAAACTATCGGTATTCGCGTCACTTATGATAAGTTTGACTTTACAACTTTATTTTACATTACAGCTATGAAATTATTGAGCTATATGTCTTAGTGTAGTGCGTCCTTACGTTTATCGAGTGGCTTTTTTACAAACAGTTGATTGAAGGAATCTTAAACTATGTTTACATGGAATTACCCAAGATCTATTATTGTGTATTACCTTATAATTAAAAATAATATAGGATCTTTGTGTTACTAACTATTAACAATATTACTTAAGTGGTGTTCTTCCTGCTAATGACATTTTCACCAGACGATTTTGTGTGAATCACGTTAAGATCGAAAAAATCGAAAATTTGATTCTTTAGAATAGAACACAAAATATAGACGCGGCGAGTAAATTAACTTAATCAAGGTATAGATATAAATAATGTCCTATAAATTATTGTGGAAACTATGTTTAAAAGATTATTAGAAGATCAAGCACTGTTCTTAAAGCTTTCACACAAAAAACGACGTTACTCATGACTCAAAAAGTGAAAATTAACATCCAAACAAACGAAAAATTACAACTAGTAGAGGACAATATTAAGTCTTTAAATACTAACAATAAAATGTCTTATTTATACACTTTTATATACAAAATACGTTAGACAAAGAGAGTATAATAAGCATGATAAGCAAAAACAAATTTAATAGTTAGTGCAGAATACACATGAAAAATGTGTCCAATTTTTGTCAATCTTTATAATGGGTTTATATTTTGTTGAGCCTTAACTATTGGTTAGGCTATTGATAAAAAATATTTTGTGTTAAGCATCATTTTATAAAACAATTGTATAATGAGTACAAATACTTGATATGATTTCAAAAGACGAGTGATACACAACTTAAAAGAGCACGCGGAAACTTTCGAATAAATTCTATAACAACAGTAAGTTTAAAATTTACTGGAATGAATAAATAGTTATAAATTCTTAACTTACTGTATAATATAAATTTATCACTGTCTACTTTAAGACACACAACATTTAGAACCAAATTATTTGACATATATTAAGTATTACTTGAGTATGTACAACTAATCGTGTTGGAAGCTCAACGCCATTTTCATATGAATTCACCTATATTTACGCTTATTATATCTAAAAAATGTTTACACAAAAACGTTCAGTATCTTAATGAAAAAGCTATCACGAAAACAAAAGAAAGAAATCACTCAAGAGAAACAAGCGAGTTGTATCGGAAAACATCGAATAAATCAAAAACTTTCGATAGGAATAAATTAGCGAATACAAAACAAACTAACCTTACGCCACTTTTGGAAGACGTTGTTAAAATAGCGAACTTACCTAAATATACGATTATATACATGAAGAAAAGGTAAAACGATGTGTCTGCTAGTCGGCCCAATCCAAGAATAAAATAAATTGTAGCCGAATACCATGAAATAATATGCAAGAAGTTTTAAAAGGTGTATAACCAAGAACACAAAGGTATTGGTCTAGTGAAATCCCGTTTCCTCCTCGTGGGGCATGGGGCGAACACATTTCTGTTGTGGTTAAGTTTTAGGTTAGGAGTTGATCAGACTTCTGTGCCCTGCCTGACCGAAATATTTTTTTTGTTTCCCTGGGATTCGAACCCAGGACCTCTCGCGCTTAACGTAATGCTAGGCAATACGTTTAACCATTTGGCACCAGGGGCGGTCAAGGTATTGGCTAAATATAAAGTAATTTTACATTTCATGGTTAACTTGAACCTTCAATATCTCAGAGCGCATAAGAGACGGTTTTAGTAGCTTGGAACCACGACCACTACTGCCCCAAATTATTGGTGAATATCTGGACTAATTAAAATATAACACTTCCTTCGAAAACAGAAGCTTATTGTTTTTATAGATATTCACTTGACATCAAGCCGACTAGCAGATCAACCGCTAACAGAACAGAGATGTTCACAGTGCAAGAAAAAAACAATATTCCAAAAGTGAAATACATGAAACGCTATTCGAAACCCTAGATTTCGATGAACCTAATTATAAAGCGTTACGGATTATCTGTCGACTCCATTCAACTCAAGTTCACAAGAACAATGGACATCATTAACTTCAAACAGAATATACACTAACTGGTAAATTATAAACTAAACCTATCAAAGAATTTATTGCTGAACGATATAAATAAAACTTAAACAATCTAACAATACCGTTATCGTTAACTATACTAAGGACACCGAACGAAATATAGAAAAATAAATCATTAAGTTATAATTTTATTATAAATGTTGATCAGCTATATATACACGTCAACATGTAAAGTCGATTCTTAAAATTACTGACAGCCATTTGATAGCTGACTATGAGCTCTGGCCCTCTAACCCGATGTAGACAAACTCGTCTTCGAGATGAATGTAAAATAAAATATATTTATTTAGAAGTTTCGCGTTAAGAAATCATTTCATTTTGTTAGTAGCGTAAGTTTATTGTGATAGTCTATCCTGTCATTCAGTTTTTCTTAAAAAAAATTCAATACAAATTTCTCTATCATCGGGCTGTCGAGCTGACTCATTCGTCGACTAACTCTAAAACATTGAGAAGCTAATGTAACTACTTATAATTTAGACGTTCTCGTTCGAATCCCTTATTATTGAAGAACTAGCGTAATTTTATCTTTCTCCTATCTACCACCAACTACACGAAAATCTAATTTTTACCCGTTTATCACCCGAAACAGTACGATTTTCAACGAAACAACGTAACGAAGATTTAACAAAAACAATATTACATTTAAGAATTTCAATGTCTTAAAGACAAAAACTTTAAGTAAAACAAATTATTTTTAAGTTAATTATAATCGCGATTGAGCTAAGATGGATAAGTTGAAATTAAGTCACAAAAGTTACACGGCGAGTAGTGCTTCATTTTATTATAGAAATTTTCATCATCGTTGTATGGGCTTAGCTCATCCAGTTACAACAAGACTACAAAGCTACTCTACGATTATATTTATTTTCGTAATATTATTCATTGCTTATCCTTCGAAACATTATTGCAATGTGATTGTATATTACATCAAATGTATTCGACTCTGAAATGCCTTAGGTGCTTGCTTACACCTCCCGTCGGAGCACTATTTACAAAATACACTCACAATATTATACTTTAACTACACAGTTATATAATCCATTATAACATTCATATCCTGTTAATCTAATGTGTTTAGAAAATCTAACTACATATTTTATTCATATAAAAATAACAACAGACCGTTTAACCTGATACCTAGCGAATATTATCTACAGTTAAATTAGACAATCACGGAACAGTGTGGGAAGCCTGTGGACTTATCAGTAGGTATTGACGTTTACGCTATTTTGGTGTGTTTCGGTGAGTGCAATAGCACATTCCTACTTCGATTAAACTACGTGATGTACTTATAGTAAAATTATTGAACAATTCCATACAAAATTCCATTGAACCCAGATTTGAGGCAGACAGCTCTAAGAATCCGATTTACCGAAGTATCCGACGATCATGGGACAATAAGGAGAGGCAATCTGTTAGACGCGAGTTCCCATTTATCACTGTTCGCATGGTTTACCTACGTGACTCCCACATTGAACCTAATTTCTATCTCTCGTTCAATTCTGGCTAAGCTTAGAGCTGCTTTCTAGCGATTTTGCTTCCATTCGGAACGGTAGGTACTATATTTCTTTCAACCTTTAGCGAGCGTGTAACAATGTTTTTACATTGTTTTTATGAACTAACAGTAACCTAAGGTGAACTAGCCAATGTCTGTAATGTCACAAACACCTAGACACATTCAACGACACATATTATACATTATGACGAGTCACACATTACGAATTTATTTCACTAGACCATTCCCTGTTTTCCTATCGCTCGCTGTGTTTATTAAAATATGAATAACTTCTGATTTAACTAGATTATCATTACCTAATAATCATGAATTACTTTGACATATCAAAAACGCGGCTCGAAATTTTTTAATTATTATTATTACGACAAATTCTACGATATCTACCGATGGTTTAATGTGGTGTATAACACGCGCTCACTTGCGCTAGATAACATGTAAATAATTCTAATTTTTAGAATGTGACGTGGATAGGTTCGAACGAAATGAGACACTAACCGTTTCTAAGCTAGGGAAAAATTTAGACTACCTAAACGTTAATGACTAACTTCACAAACCTCAACAAAGATTTTATCATCTAAGACTTTAAGTGTACAGTGCCGATAAGTGTGTAAAAGACAATACAATCGGTGAAATCGTGAGATTAGAAATCAGGAGAAGTTTGTGTACTAATTTTACCCTGTACTCTAGGATTGGTATTGAAGTTATAAATATGTAAATATTAGATAACGCAATTGAATTTATCCGATTAGACTAGACGCGAAGTCCAAGGATCAGTCGATGCTTCATCGGGTAAGCAATATAAGATATTACAGAACTACGAACAAGCATATAAAAATGAACGACAATTCTTAAAATTAACATCAGTTGGCATTTTCGAAACTATGAAATAACTGGCAATATTTGGCACACGGATAAAATTTAATTAATTAAACAAGTTATCAAACTACCTAATAATACTGAGTTTTTATAAAAGTTATATATTACAATTGGCAGTCAATTGTTTTTGTCGAAATCTAGTCAAACAATATCACTGACGCGATTCCTGTCCTTAAACTATACTGGCTTCTATGGGAGACCTTATTTCTTATTCCGACGCCTAAGTTAGAACTAACGATATCTACAACTCGTATTACGTCTACAGGGCATATTATGTTCGTCATATTATTCATATTGTCCGTATTATTTTTATGCGAGTACGCAGTTTATAAAATATTAAATGTATAATTCCCCATACTTAATTACCAATGTTAAATACTCCTACAATGTCCTACACACCGAGGACGTCGCACGAAAGTATTACATACGTATTTACGTCACATACTATGAAATAATTATAGTTGATACGAAATTGCTTTATTATACTTACACCTTACTGAATTGAGCTCGATTTTATTCGAAGTAAACCTTAAGTTACACCTTATTCATTTGATACACCAAAGACGTAACATAAAACTCGTGAAAACAGTCATCCTAAAGACGTAATGTTGTGCGTCGATCGAATAAGTACAGTAAAAGAAACGTCCAAGATACAAAATAGGCTTACACGCGACGACGATCAGCGATTCTTACAAAAATAGCTATGGCAGACCTGGCGTAAACACAAAACGCCCATTCCGTTCCCGATCGAACTATCGACGGACACAGTCAGATTAGAGTTTGTATAAAAGACGGTTTGAACGCTCGCGGTACAACGTCCATCTTACCGGCGCTTGCTACCACACTGAGCACAAAAGTTCTCGCCACATAGTTCCTACCCAGGAGCTTTACATGGATCATCCGTGCCACCACATGACGATCAGCTCCCAGAACGTCTTCGGCGGCGAGTGGCCGAAGACGTAAGACGAATTTCAGAGACCCGGGTCGCCTTCTGAGCCCATCTTGAGCAATTCCAATTTCTTCTTTGCGATCTTTGAATATAGAATGTCTATCGGTTTCGTGTTGTCGTAAAAAGTCGGCGCCCTGAATATAATGAGGGCTGTGCCGACAACACAGGCTATCGTAAACGCGAATAGGAAGATTCTATCTAAAACCATTGCTACATATTTCCAGTCATCTTCCACCTGCGAACAACGTGCATGATTAATATAAAACTCAAATTATTAAAGGGCATTTTAATCATATGAGTCACTTACGCTTTCGAACTTGTCTTTATTTTTAACATGTTGAGCGATAAACCTAGATCCTTCTATGGTTTTTTCCATTTCTCTAACGAACGGTTTTTCTAACGATGGACTACCATCGTCCAAGTCCAAGCGGCAAGGGGACCCAGGTGGGGGAGAAAACAGTTCATCGTCACCACCTGGCGGAGGAGGAGGAGAAGGAGGCATGCCTGGTAGCTCGTACTCTTCACAGGCCCACTCTTTAAATTTCCCGTCCATATCGTCCCCGCCAAAGACATCAGTCAGCACCTAGAAACGTTGCAATTAGTATCTACAAGTTAGCGCTTCCGCTTAAGAACTAAAACGACTTAATGAATACGTCTATTGGCGTAGAAGAGTCAATGTATTGGTAGCTTAAGCCGGCACACAATTAGTCTCGAGTAGGTTTTCGGTTTCGAGCCGCGTGCCGGCTCGTATATCGCGATCCGTCCGCGGCCACTGGGGGAACATAAATAACAAGAACCTCGCGCTCGTTAAGCCCGCTGGCGTTGAGTAATAAAGGAAAATCGAAATGGAATGAAATTGGGCCCGAAACGATATTTTAGCGATACACTCTGAGTACAATGAGAGAGTTTTTAGTCCCGTGGCCGAGTACAATTAAATCTGTTATTATTGACGAGCCCGAGACTGTTTATATTGAATCCATTTTCATGGCAAATGTTTTGAATGAAAAAACGCGATGAGCACAGGCGCCGTGTTTTTCCTTTCAAAAGGATTTCTCGAAGAGCTTTTTTCCTCGAAACGCTTTTATTTTATAAATTTAATTAAGCGCCTGTCGGTATATTAAGACGTTTTTGGGCTTCAAAGGGTGTTCAGATTTTAATAAAAGAATATATTTTTAAATACTGTTACAAGTTAGTTAACACAGGATCCGTAATGCTCACCTCGGTAGGTTTGTCATTATCGTCGTCCTCGTCGTCGGGCGGTTTTTCTGGCCTTTGTATGCACAATATTTTAGGTAAAAAATCTATGAAGACTTTGCGAACCCAAGGAGCCATATTGTGAGTTACTGGAGACCTAAAATTTACATTTAGCACCACGATAGTGACCACTACTGATAATGTGACTAGCATCATAGTGAATAATAGATATTTGCCTAGCAAGGGAACTGTGAGAGACGTCGGCGGGATGATTTCTGCTAATAGCAGGAAGAACACGGTGAGCGACAGCAAAATGGAGATACAGAGCGAGATCTTCTCTCCAGAGTCTGAAGGTAAGTAGAAGACGAGGACTGAGAGGAACGATATTCCCACACAAGGGATGATAAGATTGACTGTGTAGAAGAGAGTTTTTCTCCTGAGCGTGAGATTGAAAATAATGTCTGGATAGGGCTCTTCGCAGCATGAATAGAATTTTTCATTCCGAGTGGCCGGTACTCGCATGATATCCCATTCTACAGAAATATAGTACTCCGATAAGTCGATTCCCATTCCTATGTGGTCTGAGTCCGGCGTCTGCTTTAAATGCCTCAAATCCACCTGAAATTACAATATCTTTTAATACAGATAAACTCCAGAACTGGTTTTAACTTTGAATTAAGTCTTTATTTACTTCAAGTCAAGCATGCATGTAGGTTTATCGCTTTTACGATAAAAAAATAACAAGATAGACTTTTTTAATGTATTAATGTACTACTACTTTTGGTTTCCTCTGACATTAAAGACAGGACACCTCTAGTAGAACAAAGAGTTCAGATAACCACCAAAAAAGTTTCGTAATGCTGCTACAGTTTGGGTTGGCAGGCTTTTACGATAAAATTAATGGTAATAACCTGGATCGACGGCACAAAGTGCTCCCCGAGGCACGGGGGTGTTGACACCTACTTCCATTTAAAAACATTCAAATCCACGAATCCAAGGCCAAATAAATTGATAAACAAACAATATTTCAAAAATTCTATCAGAGTAAAATTGCTTGATTCCGTATGAACGTGTAATAAATTCTAAAAAGCATCCCCAAAAGACTAGTACTGAAGGATCGAGATGACAACTCAAAACAAGATCTCCGGTGAACCTTATTATGTATGGCGTAAGACGTAAAAAGGAAGCTTTAGTTTTATTTATGTGGACGTCGGAAGCGCGCGATTTATTGGCTTCCTCAGTTCGATTGATGACGGCGTCCTTCAGCGGCCTACCGTCATTAGCCGTATTTCGAAATTTTATCACACCCAGTCTCGGTAGATACCATTTGACATTTATAAATCTGTACAGCAAATAACAGCTTTCCTATACTTGAATAGGTTTTTTTTCACGTGTTTGTGCACAATATAACTTAAATCTTAACCCTCAAATCGAATTTAACTTCAAACTACCTTGTTCGTCATCTTCTATATATCATAATAATATTAAATTTTTATTTGGATTGGCATAAAATAATTAAAAAGAAATAAATCATTATGATTCTATGCCATGGACGAGAAAAATTATGTATTCATTATGTAAAAAAAATAAGAAAATATATATAGTCTCCTGGATTTAAACCAACTGGAGTTATGAAGGCGAAGAATGTGTTATACATTCAAGATGAATGGTATAACTAAATATAATGTAAATAATTATCAAATAGTTATGTTGCCAATAGTTTTTATTTAATATTTAATAATTAATTTCTCTCACATGTATTGTCTTAGCTAACTTTAAGCTTATTTACGTTTCGCTTAGAGACATGGCGTTACCAACCGTGTATCCATCGTAACTCCACGAGCCAAACTTCATGAAACACGTCTGCTCATCGAAGGGAAAATACTCGACGTCAATCTCGCAGAACGATTTGTAAATGGCAGGCGGCTTCCAAACGACTTTGCCGTCGTGATGAAGAATCGCTTTCGTCATTATGGTCACCTCGTAGTTGCCATCGGCGCTAAAAATATTATATCATAAGCAAATACATATCTGGATATATATTTAGTAAATAATACTAATATTACAAAGTAAGTTAATTTAGTTATCATTATCAATTTTAAATATTTGTAAACTTCAAAATGCCAAATCAAAACGAGGTTAAGGGGTCTGGGTAAATTTAAATGTTTTATTCTCATTAACATCAAACCATCTATACAAGTTTGTTTCATATTCCTGTACTTCAGTATGTAAGTTTTTATATCTTGTAGTTTTTGTGATCTCGATAAAGATGTCAGTAAAAAAAAATCGTCAATTTAAAAACAAAGCACAAATAATACTATTTAAAATGTACTAGTAAAGTAAGACTGTTTACTAAGTAAGTAAGAATCGCGAGTAAGTAAACAAAAACTACTAAACTTTGTTAGAAATCTATTACTCAGTATTAGCACGATTCATGTCCATTCTATTTGAACTTTAGCCGCAAACGCGTTCATTTAGCTTAGACGTTGCTTTCCGTGATTCATGCATGTAGGATTATGATAATGCATTAGCTAACTTATCTACTTGCCTACATATTCTCGTGAAGATTAAGTATTCATGTGTTTTTTAAATAAAACCCTTTAACGGTTTAAAACGCGATATATTATAGTTAGACTTATTGGAAAATTGATTTAACTACGGCCCGACGCTTGGGGTGCATTGCAGCAGCTGTGGTTACGGGAGACAAAAATATTTTGCGGTTTAAACCGTTAAAGCGTTTTATTTCAATTTGTACTACTTACGTAAGCTACAGACGAAATTTTATTAATATCTTTCTTTTCAAACGATGTTATGTCAATTGTCATCTAAGTTATAACAATCTTTGCTTAATATAAACATGAATATTTAGGAATAGAACTGATACAATATTTCAAAATTAGAACGGAAATGACGCTTAGATATAAAATTAAGCTGTCAATTCCATCCCGTTCCACTTCCGTCCATAAACACTTGATAGGCTTAAGCAAATTGTCTGCTAAAAGCTGTCGTACCTAACTTTTATATCCGTGAAAATTGTCTCATAAAATATAGGTCGTGTTGTCTTCCATTAGGCTAACGTCGCCATTAAAAATAAAGTTTACACGAATATTCGCGGCGAGGGCTTTTAGGAAAGTCACAGGTGCATTTCAGTAACCTCCGACTGCTTAAATGTAGAAATATTACAAGTACATTACGTTGAGAGCATTTATTTGTTATGCTCTGTTTTAGTTATTTAATACTTTCCGTCTAACGGGCTAAGTTTAAGGACCTGAATTAAAACTGGGTCTTGGAGTATTGAGTCTTTATATCGCTACGTTCAACAGGTCGAATGAATTAATCTCGAATCTAAGGTACTTTTTTTTAATAATCTAGGAGGACAGACATGGCATGGCACTTGATTGTAGATGATAACCCCAGCCTATATCAACTTAACAAGATGCGCTGACGACCTTTTTTGGCTTTGGATATTCGGAAATCCACAGTCTGAAACCGAAACGCGATTAAGCTTCACGGATTTTTTACCTGTAGACGGTGGTTTGTGACCCGGATGGAATTTATATATTCCTACCAGCCATTTGATATCCAGACGAAATCAGAAAAATTATAAAATTAGAAACATGTTGGCCTGGCGGGGAACAAACCCACGACCCGTTGGTCATCAGCCATACACAGCTACCATAAGACCAACGAGCACGTGAAACGTTTTATTCCACCTTGATGCTATTTAGATTAAAGGCACCACTTATCGTGCATTCCGCCTGACCAACTTCAGCCGCACTCTGCCACGCTTTAATTAATCTCATTCAATTTTCAACTTTACTTCGTAGGATTTAAGTTTTCGAATGGATGAATATTCTTTAATGCGCAGAAATGCGGTGAACTGCAGTGATAATGGGTGACTCCGGAAATATATGGGGTTTTTAAATAAGCGTTATACTAGCGATAGCCCCGGGATTATAGTTGGCAGGGCACGAAACTGGCTCTTTATGTGTTTTTATTGTAACGAGAGACTTGTATAATATTATTTTCTGACAGAGTTTTAAAGATAAGCCGCTTATGTGATACAATTAAAGCAAGAAATAAGTACATTCAGTAGGAGCGACAAATTATACAACAAATTAATATATACACGTCGCATAATGCAAAAGAATTCGCGGCCACGCGGTCGTCATTATGCTCTGACATATTACAGTGACTTGACTTGACAGATTGTCTACTTTGACAGTTAAACGTGACATAAAATCGTAAATACACTATTTTGCCGTGTGTAGCCGTGAATCTGATTTACAGTACGTCTTAGTTATATCAATACAACAATATAATCACACTCATATTTGTGCGATCAAAAAACGATATCAACTGTAAAATAATGCAACACGAGTATGTAGTCTCAAACAGCTAAGTAAGGATGAGTAAGTAAAAGCCTAAACTGATACAAGAAACTCATCGCCAACGCCGCCGAACTTCGGCGAACTTCGTATAAAATTGCCATCTTGAAAAATTACTTTAGCACTGACACGAGGATAATTCCTCCGTATAAAGCGTTAGCTTCACAGTTTTTGTAGACGAAATAGCAACGATAAACTTGTCGAGTCCTCGTGATAATGCAAAATAATGGCCGCCCGTCGCACGAAATAAGAAGATAAGGGGACCACCGAATAAAATCGCATTTTATAGAAAAAGTTCGCGTTCATTGAAAGAAATGGGTCTCGGGAAACTTGCGACAGCGGGTCGCAGGTTCTACGCGAACTCTCCTAAATTGATTCCAGAGTAAACAGGCCCCGAGTTAGATTAATGTCGGGACTTTGTAGGGCTTTTAATTAAATCCTCTTTTGCGCAAGCTTAGTCGTCTAAGATTGTCAATTGTGTGGTTGCTGCATTTCTTGGTGAGATTTCTTCTTCTTATTTAAGTACGATTTGTAAGTTACTGTTAGAACAAATCTATATTTTCAATTTTGTTTACAATTGTCATATTAGTGTGTTTTGTTTTTATAATTATCATCATCAGTGGCTGTGCAGCCCCATGTTTCCACCATTGCGATCGACCCTGTGCTTCTTTGTTTATATAATATGTGTGTTTAAATTGGAAGTGTATAATGATTAATTTTAATCATTATATTATATGTTTGTTTATTCAGGATTGTTATTTTATGGGTTTTGTATTTTGCATTATGCGTTATCACTCACCGATGTTATAAATAATTTATCTATATACTTATACGTATTCAATTGTTTATCTTCTGATTAATCTTATTCTAGTCATCTTTATCTGGTTCTATTACTTATATATATATTACTTACTTATTATATAATACTATATCTGGCAGCCATATATGTTCTGAAGGCACATGCAACGTATCCACACCACCATAGTCGTCAGGATTCCATTTGAGCTTATAATCATTCCATTCCTGTAACAAAAAAGTATATTTAAGTTCTCAAATAAATTAGTACTTTTTGAATAACTCAAGGGTTGTACGTGTTGCCTAAAAAGATAAAAATGTCAAACAGATCTGTGAAACAGGCATAGAATTATCTTCACCCCATACTCCACATGGGGAATCAGGACACTTCTTTATGATTAGTCAGCCAAAATTCGACGTAATGTATTTATTTGTTAGAATTTCTGAATTCTTATTAATATTTTCAGGAATTTGTATAAAAAGGATCGGTTTACAGAAAAAAATTCCTATCACCCTTGAGGTATTTTACAAGAAAAGGTAAAATACATGAAGAGATATATATATTTTTTATATATATTATTATTATGTATATTTTTATCGAAAATACTCGTCCAATAAATCATTTGTCAACGAAGGACAGTTAAAAATACAAATCCATAAGCATGTACACTACGATCGTAATCAACTCTGTCAGAAACAAAATAAATACTCCAGGGTGGTGGCTTCATTATGGAAGTCAATTATTATTTTGGAGAAGGCGTGTACGGCGAAATTACTGTTGCTAAAACTCAATTTCAACTACGCCGACTTAATTTGAAAACGTCTTTGTAAATAACCAAGAAAATTTAGGTCATGTTAGAAAGTAATAAAATTACATGCGCCACTTGAGAAGCTATTTTTGGAAAATGTACTTAAACAGACGAGCATGGCGTTCACTCGATGGTAGAAAATGCCATGAAAAATACTGAAAAATGAAAAATTATTCTATTGCGTATTTTGGTTTTGAATATTCGGAAATCCATAGATTAAAACAATCTATGGTTTTCCGAATATTCAAAACGATACGATTCGATTTCCGAATACTGAATAAAACTGAGCTGCACGCACGGCTTTATCATTACAGATTGATTAGAAAGAAACATTGGATCCAGTGGAGAACGTCAAGATTCTTTGAACCCAGACCAACATTGATGTCCATTTGATGGAAGGTAAGTTACCTCGAACAAAACAAAAGAAAAAAAACGTATCGTTTAATTTATTTTTTTATATAATTCAAAATAAATACTCCCAAAACAATATCACAAGTCAAATTGAAATCAAGTGTACCATTGTTTGGTAAAGTATTCAGACCGCGAATGAATAACTTTTGATGCGAATAAAATGCCAAATACCAACAAAGCTAAAACAAACTTTACGAGATGGTAAAGCAGAAATGTTGGATTCTTTTTGAACCCAAAAGCATGGCTTATACATACTAAATATCGGTTTTTATTTTGTTTTAACGGTATCTTATGACCACAGTTGCTGTTATAGGAATATTTGTTTATTCGGATTATGTTCCATTATTCATGTCATTACTTATATTATATTTTTTTTAGGTCGTTTGATATTGCATTTCTAAGCTTAGACTCATTCTCGTTCAAATCCAGTGAACTGTAAAATATTGAACATATTTCTCGCGGGATTAAGCAGAGAAAATTGTATATAGATTTTTTTTGCATTTGACTTTAATATTTATGGAATTAAATTGAAGTTAAATTAAACGCACTTTATACTTTAAACCGTTAAATATATGTTACAATGGAAAACCGAAATCGTAGTAAAACAACATGCGTCATATATTTCGCGTTTTAATTAGTTAAATATATTTGATTTAATATGTACCTACAACTAGAATACGTAAATAAGCCAGCTATATACCATAATAATTTAATAAAACTTTAAAGCTTTTTTTTATTTTAATTTTACCTATTCAAGTTTCGATTCTTCGCAGCAAGTAATATGATATTTTGAGTTTTAAACCGTAAGTATTTTATTTAAATTTATAGTACTCGAGTAAACTAAGTTAACATAGCTTTAATAATACGTCACAAGACTTTCAAACTAATTTAATGTTGTAAAATTGTTTACTTTCTGGGCTGTAGTAGCTAATAACAAATATTTAGCCCGATAAAACGGATCTTAAAATGACAAGACAACTCAAAATAACTTTGAAACTTCATAAGTACGACTTCGTTCATCTTAATTCTTAAGTTGGGTGGGTTGTTATGACGGGTGAAATTTTATATTTTCCATCTATCTACAGAAATTGGGATTTCATAAATTAGAGACGTATTTTTATATTAAAACAATTGCATATACGGGACTGGAACTCACAACCAATGGCATACTAATTTTGTTAGACAGATAGCTTCATATGAATATTTTCAAATAAGAAATACTTTTTTTTGAGAGAGACTGACAGACTATTATGGGGTTTACATAATATACAGCTTTGGACATTTGCAAATTCTTGGACTAGTATAAAAATGTGGAAAGTGTTAACTTAACGACTTTTTCTGCTGTGGAGGATGGTTCGTGTCTCGGACAGAATCTGCCACCTTTGAAAGATATTTGAGAACTAGCAGAAAGTGTAAATTCAGAGTTTTTTGTTTTTTTAAAGTAGGTTTGCATTAGCTATTATATTTTATGGCAGAAATCTAGATATAGACTAGCAACAAAGGTTTAAAAAATATTGTTATTAACCAATAAAACTCCGGTAGGATTCAAATCTTTGTCCATTTTTTTATTTTATTATTAATTTTTTTGTTTGAATAAAATGTTATTTTTGGGAAGATTGAAAATTTAAAAAAAACTTATAAACTAGTTTATAAATAAAAAGCGGGCTAATCGATAAACAGCGATCTCTTCCAGGCAACCAGTAAACAGGAAGTAAAGGGGAAAAAAGGGGACAATGGGTAAGTGGTGCTAAAAGGATTAATTAAAAAGAAAGATATTAAGAATTAGGAACAAGAAAGGTAACATTTGAAAATTGAGTTTCGCTATGTTTAGGAGCTATATCGCAACTATTAGACCAACGAACTCGTTGAATTAATAACACAAGTGGACAACACACTTTTATTAAAACTGTATCTCATACGATCATGAATCAAAGCCCACTTCAGATATAAATCTAGCGTAGATACAATAACGCTTTATTTTTTATCCCCTGTCCATATCCGGTGCTCGTAAATCATTCTGCCTCCAGCAGTTAACACGTTTTTGAGTAATGACACGTGAATCGCATAGATTCTATTTTCAAAATATGGATCGGTACAGTTACTGTATCAAATGCAGAACGGATGGATATTGCTAGTGCTAAAAGACATTAGTAAGACAGAATTTAACTCAGTTATACTAATATATCACAAAACTGAAGAGTTTGTTTGTGTGTTTAATGCGCTAATCTCAGATACAACTGATTCGAATTGAAAATTAGTTTTGTGTTGGTTGGAACATTTATCAAAGAAGACTTAAGACTATAAAATATCTCCCTGCGACAAATAGAAGAAAGAGATTGAAATGTGGAAAAATATTCAACTTTTTTGGCTTCCGTTGCGTGCACTGCGAATACGGTTCAAGGAAGCGAAAGTATGTATGAATGATTTTTCTTTAAATTATCTTAAATAATGTCATTGAGAGTATATTTATATATTTTAAGATTAACTCTCAACGGCGACCAGATATGGTTCGATATCATGGGTAATAGTTATAATTTATAAAGCTGAAGAGGTGGTCTGCAATTATAAAAAAACATAATGCGCAAAATAACTATTCCACGCGGACAAAATCGCGGGCACAGTTTTAAGATAGACAATGTGGCAGGTTACTTTGACGAAAAAATACGCCAGCTGGTAACTTATAATCACGACAACCAATTATTGTCAGGAGTTTACGCGAGTTATTTTAATTAAATAAAATACAGAATCTTTAAAACGCAAAATGATGTAATTTATGTTAATGAAAACCCAACGGTTCAGTTTGCAGCAGCTTATGTCAGTTTTAAATTTGGAACACTACCTTCCAAGCAATGAAACTAAAATTACTACTGAACAAGCAAGGTCATTTTTGCAATCAAATAGTTATAAGATAAATACTTTATCAAATATATATTTTTCTTTACAAAGAATACTTTAAAATACTGTAAACCTTTATAAAACATTAGACGAATGAAATGTTTCTTATTTGGAATTACGTAAAATTCGTTAAAATGTTTTCAAAGAACAGACCTCAAAACTCACGCAAAGTTTTTAAAACAATAAACTCGAACAGAGTAACTTTAATAAACGGATCGCTACAAATTTAAAGGAATTTCTTTTTTAAGTACTTCGAGGTTTTTTCTTTAAAAGGTTTAAGCCGAAAAAACCATTAGTTTCCAAAATATTACGAGCTATTTAGCCTGCTTATTATCAAAGTTGCAAAATTTGCTTAGAAAACGGAATTATTTATAAATCGATCGTAAATTTATTAATTGGTTTTTTACTTTAGGCGTAAGACCCGTTATTTATATTTTTTTTTTATATTATTTAATTAAATTAAAAAATCAGTATAAGTTTGTAAACAGAAGTGACTTTTTATTTTATTTTATTTAACTTTGCTTCATAAAACTGGTAGTCGCTAGCTACGACGTAGCAAATATGCACGATTAATGAAGGCTACGATGTAGATGAAGGCTACGATGTAGCAAGTGAGGTCTACGTCAGGGCAATGTCTTTTTTCATATTATTAAAAAAGCTTGCGGACCACGACAAAGAGGCGAAAATTAAAATGAAAGCGAATGTATGGCCGAACTATTAGTCAGTTGTTATTGACGGGCGTCCCTCCTTTTGTCCAACCGGGATTCCCGTCATTTGTCAAGCTCTGTTACGGCCCACGTGACGTCTTGACTTTTCTAAATGGCTTTATTTGCGCTGTCGGGATGGTTGAAATTCAATTTATTATAGGTAAGGTAGGCTGAATAGAGGAATGTATGTCAATAATGCTAAACTTCTGAGGCTGAAATTAGTTTATTTATATTTGAGCAATTCAGCAAATAACACATAGGATTCTGGTATATTAATATAAGTACTCTTACTTTAGTAGTTGTAATCTATCGACAAATAGCTCGTTAAAATGTTTGTAGTTAATGATATCTTTTTATAATCTGTATCTCAATTTAATAATATTGCATGTATTGAAACCAGAAGTCTTTCTATCTTTGTATCGTTAAAATAGTAAATAAAGTTTTGCATACCTGTTCCACCCACACGTTCGTTGTCATGATTTGATTCTTAAGATTCTGGAAAGAAAGAAAAGAAGTATTTAATATTCATTATTTCAGAAAAAGAAACATTATATTGTAGATAAAAGGATGAACTTTTATTAAAAACCTTACTGAAGCTTTGAGAAAATTAGGAATGTACATTTAATTAACTTTATCATAACATGTCCAACTTTTACGTAAAAATTAAAAACTGCAGTACAGGTGCTTTAAAAAGAATATGAACTTTAATAATATCCAATTATAAAAAGCTCAATGATTCGAATCAAATTAAATCATAGCAAGAATCTAGACTAGTAGAAGTTAGGGCGTGAGTTTAATGAAATTTCTCGAACAATCGAAGAAAGTCAGTTTTGATATATAACTGACGTTGCTAGGGCGATATCTTAAGAACTTTGGATAATGAAACTTTGCGAAATTGAAAATACTCCGCAATTTTATTGATGGGATAGGTTAAAAAATTTCATCGTGAATTTTTGTTTCCCTCGATTGTATTAATTTAAGTATTTTAAAAATCGAAAATAAATTGAAAAAAAATTCGACTCGGGCAGGACTTGAACCGGCATCATCAGCGATCCGTGCTGTTGCTCTGAGAGCATTATATAGTGCCTTCATGTGCAATAACATGTAAAAAATATTAATGTTTTCAAAGGTTAAGTATTTTAGATCAATTTTCATATATTAGCAGGTAGTGTCATAAACGGGTTGGAGTTTGTAGTTTACGCGAGTAGTACACATTTAAATAAAACCATTTGAAACGCGTAATATAGTAGTTAAACTTATTTGAAAGTGATTTTAAGTACAGCTTTGCAGCAGTGGTGACGGAGAGACTAAAGATGGAGGGTGTCTCTAATGTCAAAGTGAAAACTGCTACGCTAGCGATTTGGCGAAATTCCTTACATAATTGACGAATAGCGTCTTCGCGTTAGTCGGTGTGCTGTTTTTTGGAATTCAGAGTTTTTAATATAGGATTTTAATATCTCAGGTGTTTGATATCTTGAGGCAGTCCTCCCTAATGAAATTTGTGTGTCTCTTAATTTCGACCGTCGAAACGCCGCGTCGGATTGTTATTTTTAAATAAGTTAACTAAAGTTTAGTTAGCAAAGATTCATGTTTTTTCAGACTTCCATCAGTATAATCACTAATCTAACCTGCAAAATTTCACCAACCTATCAAAACCTACCAATTAATTGCGTAGTTTGTCTGAACAGCAACAAGGTGGATTGGTGGTGGATACTCAGATAAACCCAGCTTGGAATTACTTGACACTTTCTCATTTAATTTTTGCGATGTAAACAAGCGTTCTCTATCAGAGTAAAAGAGATGGCCATACGATGTGCAGAGAAGATAAAAAGTACAAACTTAGCTTTTTTTTTAACTTTATAATTGGCCTGCGTGCTATGTAGGACGAGATGCAAAAACTGTATTCCATTATCTCGTTTGTGTAACTAGCATTCGTTAGGAAACAAAATAATTTTAGAAACATTTTTAATGCCCTTTTATAAGCAGGTTGAGTCATATTTTCATATTAATGTGAAAACTAGGATATAAAGGTTTTTTAATTTGTGATTGCCTGTTTATAATTATAACAGAATATTGACAGGTGTTTATTAGAAATTTACAGAGAATCGTAAAGGACTCGCAAATTATATTATAAAAAAGGTTTTTATTATTTTATTTTTAGGTTTTAATAAAACATATTATAACGCTTTTCTTTTTAACATCAATTAAAAATAGTTTAGTGAAACTCATTTCTATGTAATATAATTTTAGTTTACGCGAGTAGTACGCAATTAAATAAAATCTTTTAACGGTTTAAAACACGGAATGTTTAGTGAAATCATAAGTCAACTAATACATTTCGCCTTTTAAACAGTTAAAAGTGTTTTGTTTAAATAAACTGATTCTTATCCTTTTCACACCGATGTAATTTGAGATTAGAACCAAGAACATACTTACGTGTAACATTAATCAATCAACTTTTGACATTTCTAACCGTTTCAGTAGTAGCCAAGCGCTGTAGTAAAGTTTAAAATAAGAACGGAGGGGATTTCACAAACTCCTTACACAACATTACACACTCGAACATGGAACGAAAACTTCCATTCTTGGAAACTCTCAGATTCCCTTAACTTTAATTACCCGAGACTTTGCACTCGGGATCAGATAAAATTGCATTCCTCCGTGCTTCGTGCCGCGGGATTGCTTTAAAATTGATAATGTGGTGGAATGCAACAGATGTATTAAACTTCAGTGTAATACGTCGGTTAATTTTTATTTCAGTTACAAGCTTTGAATTTGGAAGAAACATATCTTAGTGTGAGAAAATATACCTATTAGGTACCTACTCTATACAACATATATACTTCTAAAGACAAAACAGGTTGACAGTAGATTTTGTTTAGATGTTAAGCGGCTACCATCAAGCACCGTGACCTTAACCAAGGTTGCGAGGTAAAAAATGTTAATAGTGAATAGTAATATTGAAGATGAAAAAGAAATACATCATGAAGTTATTTTATTGAAGCACTAGTTAAGAACAATTTTATTTTTTTTTAATTTTGCCAGTTTGAATGTTAATAATATTTTAAAAAGCATTAATTTTCTGAAGAGTGACAACCGTAAAAACAGTACTTACTTTTTAAGATCTCCAAACTTTAAGAGATTAAAAGATATAAGTTACATAAAAGAAAAGTATGACATATAACCCCTATTCGTAGAGCAAGGTCTTTTGCATGGTCATGGATACGAGTAGGTAGGGCTCGTGTGAGTTTATTAGTACATAGAAAATTTCACTATATCCAATATCCTATAGGCAATCTTTGGAAACATAAATTAATAGCCCGTTAGCTAGCTACACATGTTCTGATAGTATCTGGCTGGTGCCAGCGGATCCCTGGCGAATGACAGGGTCTCTCCTAACGCAGTAATTAAACTTTGTAATTGCCTCCGACGGCTCTCGCGAAGTTAGATATTGCAGGAATGATTAGTTAATTTTAATTTTTTGTAACCGCAATTATAAAGTATTCTGTAATTCGGTTTTGATTCGATATTGCGTTCCTCGTTCTCAAACTTTTAAAAGTCTATTTTATTTATTTTGACTTTAGATGTTTAAAGCCCACAGACTGAATACGAAACACGATTAAATGCATGGTTTTGGATCTGTGGTTGGTAGTTCGTGACCCGGACGGTATTCGTCGAGAATACCGACTGAATCGATATTACCAGATATCCAGACAAAGTTCAAAATGTTTCGGATAAAATGTAAATTGATGAGAAACATATTAATCTATACTAATCTTATAAATGCGAAAGTAACTCTGTCTGTCTGCCCGGCTTTAACGCCGATGCTACTGAACAGATTTAAATGAAATTTTGATACACAGATCTTTAGGAGCCTGAGAAAGGACATAGGTACTTTTTAATGCCAAAAAAGGGTTGTTAGGGGTTGAAAAGGGGGATGAAAGTTTGTAGGGAAATTCGTGGTTTTTGGATAGAATAGCTAGAATAATGAAACTTTTTTCTTTGGCTTTTTGGGAATAGGAGTGGGAGTGGGAGTGGGAGTGATTGTAGGATTGAAAGTGGGAGTGATTGTAGGATTGAAAGTGGGAGTTAGGAGTAGGAGTGATGTGACTGAGAGAGAGATTGGCTGCCTTAAATGCGCCCGTACATAAATTAAGAAACAGCCTAAATAATTAAAATTTCTACCTCAAATCACTATTCCAGGCAGACGAAGTCGCGGGCACAGTTAGTACATTATAAAAAAGACACTATTTAGTAAACTATTAGATAGATACCTATTCAATCAGTCATTTTTTTTTAATCTTTATTTTATTTTTATTGTGACGTTATCGTGAATATCTCTTAGCATTTAAAATAGCTTAGTTATATTTTAGAAAGTGTAAGAGTCCTTAAATATTTTGAATGTAACAAGGTGTTTTAATAAGGATTACAATAACAATATGACAGTATACACACAACTTGTCATAACATATAGCGAAGGATTCTAAAGCTATGTACATTGCATTAAGCCCACCATTGTGTTAGACTACGCAGTTTACGTGTTCACACAGTGTAAACATATAAACACGTATAAATACATGCAATTATCCCTTGTAGATCAACTATACTATACTTTGTCTTATATAGCGTGATACGTTTGACAATTGACAATAGGGATAGTGCAGTGTGCAATCGATTGTAAATCTATTCGATTATCTATTAAATGTTTCGTCGAAGCTAATATTATTCTATATTTAGTAATAGATAAATAAATTGTATTATAGTACGAAATATCTTTTTTTTGTGTAAAATATCGTATTTTTTATTTTCAAACGTCGATCTTTTATTGTTTTTTATGCTTGAGAAGCCAGTATAACATCTAAATAATATGCACTGTTGACCTATTTTGGCTTTGCTTGGTCGGGAATCAGCAGACTGAAACCGAATACGATAAGACTTGACGGCTTCTTCATCTGTGGTGGTTCGCAACCCTGATGGAATTGAGATATTTCTACTATCTATTTAATATTCCATTTTCAGACAAAGTCATAATGAATAGTAAGAAAGAAGATATAAAAAATAATAATAAATTGATTATAAAAATATTGGACATGGTGGGAATCGAAGCTATGAGAATTAGCCATATCTACCATTACACCAACAAGCCCGTCGACTTTATACTGAGCGGTACATATCAATCAAGTACGCTAAGAATTAAGATTTTCATTAAATTATTTTCGAGATTAGTCAAAGTACAATAATATAAGCGTATGTATTCTATTATTGTTTATAAATTTACCAGCGTAAACCTAATACAGTTACCCTTAACAAGCTTATCAAAAATTCTATTTCGATCAGAAAGTTATGAATAAAAATATGTAACTCCGATAAAGCAAACTGAACACAACGGTTCTATGTATTTTTAGGATAACGACCACTGGAATATACTAAACAACCCTTAAAATAACTAACGCATGGATTTGAGTATAAACAAACAT